TCCATCTCCAATATCAGTCGTACCAAAATTCATGGCACGAATGGTTGTCGTCTCGCGCACTCAGTGATGAGGTGTACTGGTGTTTCCCCATCTTCCCCACAGAATCTGCATTCGCCGTTTCTTCTTAGTTTCAATCTACTGAGGTGTTCGTTGAGGAGACAGTGTCCTGTTAAAAACCCCGTGACAATCCGAAGATTGTTCTTACTCAGACCCAGGAAGATCTGTGATTTTTCTTCATCATAAGCCCTCAGAAACTTCTTCGAGTGTCTTAGACCATTGGAAAATTTCCATTCCAGGTTGCGGATGGAATCTTCCAAGTTCTTGAGTTCCGCCTTGAGTTGGTTACCACTTGGAAAGCAGAACGGTTCTGGTTCAGTTAGTGGAGTGTTCGCTGCTTTCCTAGCTAGATTATTTGCTTTTTCATTGCCTTCTATCCCTTGGTGAGCAGGCACCCAGTGTAGGAGGACTTTGTTTTCTTTGCCTAATTTATTCAGCTTCTCTATGCATTCTTTGACCAATTTCGAATTGATTGATACTGAGTTGATCGCCTTTAACGCTGCTTGACTATCAGATAAGATGGCTATTTCTTGTTTCCGATAGTTCCTATCTAAGATAAGTTGTACGCATCTTTTGATAGCGTAGATTTCTGCCTGTAGGATACTAGGGTAAGTGCCCATTGGTTCGGAATATTTAGTTCTCGACCCAAATACTCCGATCCCTGTTCCCGTATTGGTTTTGGAAGCATCAGTATATCAAGTTATGGTATGGTCGGTATGGTCTTTTAACTGCTGGGCAAGCGTTTCGCTCTTCCAATCCTTCTTATTGCTCAATACTACATTGACATGTTTGTCAAAGTTGTACGTTCTTGGCATATCGTCCACTGGGAGTTGCAGGAGTAGTATTTCCTTTTTGAGGGTGTTCCAAGCCCCTGATCTGACAATTCTCCCAGTACTAATTCCGTTAGTGACCATTCTAATCATTGTCGCATTGGCATATCTACCAATGACAATGTGCAGTGGTGTTAGATCTAGAATGACTTCCATTGCTGCTGTTGGACAGGTTCTCATGGCTCCTATGATGCAAACGCATGCTAGTCTCTGGACTTTGCACAGGTTTAGCCTTGCCGTCCGTTGCTCTAGATTTGTGTACCAGGCAACTGCTCCATAAGTAATCATGGGTCTTACTATCATGGTATACATCCAGCGCAAAATGTTAGGGGAGCAGCCCCATCTATTTCCGGCCAGTCTTCTGCATATCATGAGAGCCTTTATGGCTTTGCTGGTAGTGTTCTTAATATGCCTGTTCCACAGGAGTTTACTGTCCAGGGTTATTCCCAGGTATTTAACTTCCTGTGTTGGCAGTATTTCCTTTCCATCTAGTTGGATTCTTTTCAAGTTTTTCAGACTTCGCCTTCTGGTGAATGGCACTATCGCGGTTTTGTCTGAGTTGATACTCAGCCCGACAGTCCTACACCATCTCTCAGTGATACGGAGTCCTCTTTGGATAATATCACACAAGGTGCCTTCATGTTTCCCCCGAGCGATCATGACTATGTCATCTGCATACCCAATGCAGTGTATTCCCGCTAGAGTTAATTCATCTAGTAGTTCATCCACCACCAAGCTCCACAGCAAAGGGGAGGTTACTCCACCTTGTGGAGTTCCTTGCGTTGTTTTAACAGCTACAGTTTTGGTGCCCATCTGAGCCTCTGCTGTTCGTGTTGACAGCATTTCCCAAAACCAGCGAATAATAGTTCTGTTCACCCCTCTTGTTTCTAGAGATCGCCTGACCACCTTATGTGGTATATTGTCAAACGCCCCCGCAATATCCAAGAAGGCACAAATTGCTGTTTCTTTGCTATCCAGACTTGTCTGTAATAGCTCCGTTAATTGGTACAGACGCACCTTAAATCTGAAAGCGCACGCAGGCGAACGCCTTTGATGTAGCGACTCGAAGCGGATGGTCGAGCGCACGACCGAACGAACGGCCGCATGCGTTCGGTCCCCGTCTAAATATACCGCACTTTCATTCGTTCGTTCGTTCGTTCGGATAATGAATACGCACCTTTAGATGTAGCGTCTTAAGTTTCATAAAAAAGTAGTATTGTGATGTGAAAACCGTATCTTTGTATATTATAAACGAGAAACCCCATAAAACGAAAATGGGAATGAAGAAAGAAAGCAGAGAAAAAAATTTCCCAAGCGCATGAAATCTAGTCTAATAAATACTTGGCATTTTTCTCTCTATGGCTTACAAGAACGCCATATCGATTCACTCCTAGCTCCTAGACATGTAAGTACCGGTCCGATAGGGTAGAAATGGATTAAGAAAACAATGACAGGTGAAAATTTTAAGTTCAGGATGTTGAATTTTAATTACCTGTGAATAAAATTTAATCGCCCTGTATATAACAAGCAATACAACTTATTTAAATATTACTAATTTTAAAAAGAAGACACTATTTATACATTACTTAGAGTCAAAAAGCATAAATAATTTGCGGTTTTACAACTTTTAGAAATGTTTAACTATGCAGAAAGTAATTGCAAAGCCTACAGAAGTAAACTTTGCGGTAATTGGGTAATTAAAAATGTGATATTATTTTGTTGAATCGCTTCCTTAAAAGTGATTTTTACTAATTTTAGTACTTCTATTGCTAATCCTACTAGTAAAAAATCTTGGTTTTTATTAAAAAAAAAGCGAAATTTTAATTTAGACAATACATTCGGTAAAACCGGTTAAAACGGGTTTTCGGTTAAAACCATGTAAAATAACCTTAAGTTTAAGTGTATGGGGGCCTTAAGGCCTTAAGTAAGTACTACAGTCTATTTCAGGAAAATAGTTTAACTTCTACAGGGTGGCTTAAAAGAACAATCGGTATTTTTTTTTTAAACGAAATATCCTGTATATTATTGCGTTTTTGGCTTTCTTCGAATCACTTTACATAGTCCTAAGATATTATTAAATTTATTTTGATAATTTCCAAGAAAAATTATTTAAAATAAATATTAAAAATACCGTATGATCGAAAAAAAACGTGTCCAGTTGGCTTGTAAATGAACATCGATGATATTCTCCGTATAATTTTATATACAAAGTGAGAGCGATCTTCCTTTCATAGCCATCGCTGACGCCGTTTTTCTTCAACTATGCAGAATAAGATGTGTCGTTTCATCGTTTTTTAAATCAAGTTGATGCAAATCTTCGCACTCTGTTTAAAAAAATAGTAAAATTATTTTGCAGAAGTAAAAGCAAGAACAAACTGTGGAAATTTCTAAAAGGTATTTTTTAATTAAATTTTTATTATATATATTCTATCATGTAATTAAAAAAAAGGTTCTTTATAAGGAAAGCTTCCTAATAAAATTAAAAATGCCCTAGTCCTTGAACACGTTTTGCCGATGTTGCATTTCTTTACGAAGAGCACAGAGGATCAAGCAATAAAGCAAGCGGTTTTTTTTACTTCTTTTAGTTCCCTAATGATTGTATTAATAAATTTTTGTTTTGTGACCCATTCATATTTCATTCTCGATAAAAAAGCGAATATTTTTAATCATTTTTTTTTGTAGTTTTTTGAAATATACAGGGTGAGTTTCCTACGATGTTCTCTATGGGTATCTCGAAAACTATTGAAGAGAGAGAGCCGGTTAAATGGGGAAGAATTGCAGTTTTGTGGGGTCATAAATATGCGCCTTTCAGATTTTTGAAAAAGTTCATGGCTATAAAAGTTGTAGATAATCACATCCCTAATGAGTTTGTGTTCTCAGATTTTTTCTAAAGCCTGTAATTATAATTCAGCCGATTTATTATAAATTTTTTCCAAGTAGTTTTAGTGATTCGAATGAAACTTTGAGGGTAAAAGTTACTATAAGTGCTACATATTGTAATGCTAAAAAAGTGAAGATAAATTCATCAGGGACGTTTATCACTGGAATATTTAAAATAAAAGTGCACCACTGACTTTTTTTTTCTTTTGATATCAAAATTGTGTAGGCCGTTTAATGCCAGTTAAAATGTTATCTCTTGATATTTTGTCGAATTCGGCCTCCTTGATGAGATAAACCCAAATTTATTAATCACAATTAATAAAAATAAAATTAATAAATTATATATTTCACCTACTTTATTATTAAATTTTATTAGTCCAACCTACAGCAATTTCTAATAAAAAATAATGGTATTTAAAATAATTACAAAAAACTTAATTTTAAAAAATTTTAACTTATTGTAACTACAAAACTATGCATATCCATACTCATGTTTATAGGAACTTTTTTTCGTATTTTTTGATGAGGATTCAAAGGGTACTTATTTAAAACTTTCACAAGTTAATCATATTTTTTTTTAAGTTGGTGTTAGACTTGGATCAAGGCACATTAATAAAATTGCGTTTATCTCATCAAGGAGGCCGAAATCGACAAAATATCAAGAGACAACTTTTAATCGGCACTAAACTGTTTTCACTCTTTCTCTAACAAGAGAAAAAAAAGTCAGTGCGTACATGCTTTTTTTAAATATTCCAGTGATAACCCATATGCACGTCTGAGTAGTATTATATTTAGACTTTTTAAATACATAGTTAAATAAATGCATTCTATTTTCATGTTTTTTTTTTGCTTCTGAAGAGGGAGGAGATGTACCATCTGAAACGTTCAGCATTTTTGTCAGTAAAGAGCAAACATTATTAAAAGTCATCTCATTTTCCAATAAAGTCATCGAGATTAATTAAAAATAATGAAATAACGTTTTTGATTCAAGAATAAAAATGATTTGCTGAAAAACCAAGTAAAATATATGGTAATGATTCCGGGACCGAGCGTATAAAAAACAATAATTATCCTTATAATAGATTTCTTTTTAATTCTTGCTGATTAACCAAATGTTTTCCGAAACTTGTGATTAAAAGCGAATTTAGCGAACACCCATGCGCAAAATTAAATATTACATTAATCTATTGGCGGAAAATAGCTATTATTTTGCGTTAATTCGTCCCGATTTACATGGAAATGGCGCGTCCTTCGTTAATGTATAAAATGGACAAGCTTAGTGAGAAAAATCATCAATCGCTCATCATCTAAGCAACGATTAAAATCATGAAACGCTTCGTGGTCTTAGTAGCCGTCTTGGTGACTGTCAATGGGGTAAGTAATCAATACCAATCGACACCAATCCTAGCACTAAGTGTAGAAAGCATTTATCTATGGTAGAAAGTACACACCTTAAGTCATAAAATTGTACTCTTGGCAAAAATCTTAACATTACGTTTTTTTAAAGAATTTGATAGGTATCACATTATCTATCTTTATTTTCAAACTAAAGCTTCATTCAAACCTTGCCAATTAGGGGAATACAAGTGGTTTCAATTATTACACTTTATACTTTTTAGTTTACGATCATTCACAAGATTCACAATGTCTAAAAAACACAATTAAAATTAATATAATATCCTAGCAACAGCTGGCATTAGTCAGTTGTATCCATAGAGAAAGCCTAATAGGTATTTATCTTATAAAACAATCATAGATAAAAGAAAATAAACTTCTATTAAGATAGATATGAAACTTAATAGTAAAATTTTGGTCAAAGCGCCCCTCCGTGTTCTTAGTAGAGACTACGTTTAACCCAGCGCCTTCGCCTTTTCTGCTGTAAATATTTTTTATGTTTATATTTGATTTCAAAGGATTTAGTTTTAAAGTTACACTGATATATTAGTATATCAGAGTAACTTTAATGTGGAGCAGTGCGTAAGGAGTCGGGCTAGGAAGCGAGAGACCGGAGTTCGAATCTCGGCCGGGACATAACTTTTTATTTATTTTTTTAAATACTGTTGTATTCTATAGTTTATTTTGTAGTATAAAAAAGAACTATTTATTCTGTTATTTTTTAATCTCCGGTATTAATATAAATTGATTGTTGGTACAATACCTCATTTAATATAAAATAATATCTACTTTTTGAAATGTATCGGGCACTAATTGTACCTAAAAGTAATATATTTTTAGTGATATACCATATTGTAAACTATTTAATATTTCAGTCACTTAAAAAGTTAATTTGCATTGAATAATTGCCTACCATTAAAGGAAATTTGAGCTATATAATCCTTGATGGTCATATTCTGGGTATGCAAATACTTCCTCTAAATTTTGGGTTTCGTTCAACCGATTTATTCTCAAAACCTGAAACATCTACATATAAAAAGAAGCACAGGTCACTAATTATAATAGACTTCACCCTTGGAATTACTTCTATCACAATTACAATACATTCATCTGCATTGGCATTTTCTACTTTTCGATGGGAAACTTCAACTTCCCAACATTTTTTAAATGATGTAACAATTCCTCTTGTGGTTACTTTTCCATAGATATCCTCATCTCTGTCCTCATGTGAATTCAGAGGCAATGAACATGAAAATTATTTACCATAAACATCGCAAACTAAAAACCTAATAAACAATTTTATACCGAATATAGAAATAAATTTAGTATTCTTACCTATTATTATCGTCCAAATCCATGTTAATAGATAATTATTTTTAAATATATTTTTGGAACTGCTGGTTTTAGTAATTATTAAATTAAACGAACTAAAAAGTCTTAAAAATAAACAATTCTTAACCATAACCCCAAAAAATGCAGATCTCCTGTCAACTTTCTTTATTTTTTATTTATTCATTATTTTCCTAGTGACGTCACAGGTGGTATGCGCGAACTGAACGAAATTGGAGCCGCTATCGATCATACCTTGTATTCTTTGTACCATGGGTATTTATCTTATAAAACAATCAATTTTTGATTTCTAACTACATTTTTTTTGACGGAAGATAATCAAAGGCCAAAAAGACATTTGCGGCAAACTTTCAAAAAAAAAGTATAATTAGTGGAAAAGTTAAAAGTTTGATAACTTTTTTTACTAATTGAAAATGTCTACCACTATTTTTGACATTCTGAATGCTTATATTGAAATTAAAGTAACAAACTTCTACGCTAATTAAAACCACTAATTTATTCCACTAATTGCGAGGTTCTGAATGAAGCTTAATCAAAATGTATATTTTCATTTTTTATTGAACACATTCAGACACGAGAACACCTCTAAAACATTCACACAAACATGTAATCGATGCCAAAAATTGGTCATATATATATATATATATAATCAAAAACCTTCCTACCCGAAGGTGTAAGGTATACTAAATTAAATAAATTCACTTAATTGCTACATTATAGACAAATTTTCCCATTTATTTTTGTCTCTTGCTAAACTTTTGGCTTCTGTTAATGTTAGTCCTCTATCCTGCTCTATCTTCTCTATTATGTCATTCCATAATAGTTGGTCTTTTAGTTGGTCTTCCCAGTAGTCTCTTTCCCTGCATTTTAGCTTCCCACACGCATTTTACTGGTATGTCGTTGTTCATTCTAATCAAGTGTCCATACCACCTAAGCTGACCTTGCCCAATTTTATTCAGGATAGAATCTACTTTTAGTTCCTCTCTTATAAAGCTGTTCCTTAGTCTATCTTTCCTTGTTACCCCAAGTACTCTAAGTAGATATAACATCTCCATTCTTTGGATCTTACTCTTCAATCTTTTAGTTAATACCCAACTTTCACAGCGAAAAAAGTAAAAATTGGTCATAATATACATTATTTGCAATCATATACTGGGTGGCCCATTAGTACGAGCATGTTCAATATCGTGATCGTAAAAGTTTTATACAGATTAAATAATTAATTAATAATTAAATACATGGTGTGCCAGAAAAAGGTATTATAAAGTTTTAAGTTTTTTATAAATTGCATCCCCCATTTTTCTGTACAGATTTGGATTCAACATAATATCTGCAAACCCGCTAAGAATTAGGAATACTCGACAAAAAATATTCATTTCTTAATTCTTTTAATTTAATTATTGGAAATACACCGATTCTGGTGACGTCATAAAAAACACTCTGTATAAATGGGGTATGCAATTCAAAAATTGGGTATGCAATTTAAAAATATTTTAAACTTTATAATTACTTTTTTTTGTGACACCCTGTATACAACGAAATATATAGTATACGCTCCTTTATAAACTATGCTATAAAACATCTGTTTTAATTTTTAATGGAATGCCCATTATATTTTTTTAGAAAGATCTTTTTAGAAATAGAAACATATAATAAATTTTATTATAAATAATACAGGGCGAGTCTTAAATAAGGGTAAATTTCTATAGAGTTAGTATATTTCGACCCTAGAAACACGACTATGAAGTTTTTTTTTCGTGAAAAGAACATTTGGAATTTTTTGAAATTTTTAATTTGAAAAATTTTTAAATACATTTTTAAATAATAGGTTATACCGGGCGTGTCTCAAAAGTGTCTCCTATAACTTTTTTATTTTTTCAGATAAAACAACGACTTTTGATATGTTAGTATACGACATAAATTAGGATTGATTGACGTATACAATTGTTTTCGGTCACTTCCGGTTTCCCCGGAAATGACTACAACTTTTGATTTTTAAATGGCGTCCTCGGTATTTTTTTACTTTATTCGATAGAAAATGACACTCTGAATAGAATGACAAATCAACTTTTGACATGTTCACATATGGTTTATTTGAAATTATAACATGCGGTTCATAACGACAATTTGACTTGAAATACCAAGTGTGTGGTATCAAATTATTCGTTAAAAAATGCTTTTTCCAAATATGCTAATGAGCCGCCCTCGTTCCATTTGAAAAAATTGAGATATGATTAAAAATACGATTTGAGCATATTTTAACCGGCCAGGACAAGACACTAAAAATATTAGACGATCAAATCTATTTTTCCAAGACTCTTTGATTCAAAATTAGTGTTTTTAACACAGCCATGGATTAGATTGAAGTTTAAAATACAATTTATTTTTGAGCAAATATGTCAAAAATTGACATATGGTATGTCATTCGATTGAGAGTGTCATTTTCTATCGAATAAAGTAAAAAATTACCGAGGGTGCCACATATACGTATTACTTTTTACAAATATACTCAGGGTTCCCTATTTAACCCCGTGTGCAATTTCTGTGCCGTAAGAAAGAGACAGCATAACCCAGCTCCATATTAAAACTGCATAAGTCTATTTCACCCGGATATGGATTGAACTGCGATTGCGCCAAACTCCGATTGATTGTTGTTTTAGTTCTGTTTGTATTACTTTTTATTTGTGCGCGTAAAAGAGTGATTTTGTTTAGTTTATTGTTTCCAACTATTTTTTTATATTTTTCCAACTCCATGATAATGTGTTATAAATAATAAAAATATAAATCAAATTGAAGGTTAGGGGAAATGTCAGTCAACCACTTCCCTTTAAAAACATCGACCAATGAAAACTTCTTCAGGTGAGGCATGCTCAGTTAAATGAATATCCGGGTGAAATAGACTTATGCAGAATTCCATATTGTTCTTTCACTGTTTGGGCTTCACTTTTTGGAGATTAGGCTGAGTATATTTGTAAAAAGTAATACGTATATGGGCTGCCATTTAAAAATCAAAAGTTGTAGTCATTTCCGGCGAAACCGGTAGTGACCGAAAACAATTGAATACGTCAATCAATCCCAATTTATGTCATATACTAACATACCAAATCTCGTTTTTTTATCTGAAAAAATAAAAAAGTTATAGGGGGTGAGCCACTTTTGAGACGCACCCGGTATAGGTTATATTTGGTTAAATTTAATGAATCAAAGTTTTAATAGATGAAAATTTTCATTCCTAAAAATGATGTTTTGAGTCACCCTGTAGGTATGAATTAATTTTCCAATAAAAAAAAACCGTAGCCAATATAAGTTGTTGCAAAAAGTAAAATTTCATGATTTAAATGAAATATTTCATTTAAATTAGTAAATTTTAATTATCCCGCTATTTTTTATTTTTATTATTTTCCCTGTTAATGACGATAGTTATAATTTATTTTTAGCTTAGTGACGAGCTCATTAACGAATTTAAAGAAAAGGTCCAAACAATAGGAATGCAATGTGCAGAACAAGAAAGTGCCACGGATGGTACGTATTTTCAGTTCTAAAATACAAAAAATAGTTTGAATAAATTTAGAAAGTCGAAAACTTTTGTGCTACCTACTCTATGAATACTTATTTTTCTGAGTCTAGAGTCTAAATTAGTTGTTTTTATTATTTTTTAGAGGATATTCAGGCCCTAATCAAACACGAAGCCCCTGTTACGCATGGAGGCAAATGTACAATTTTCTGTACAATGGAAAAACTTAACATCGTAAGTACTATTAATTTTGATAGCTATAAAAGAATCAAAACAAATTTTGAAAATTATTTCAGATAAAATCAGATGGTACCATTGGAGAGGGAGATGTGGAATGGTTAAACAAAGCCAAAGAAGATGATTCAGATTTCTATGAGAAGTTACAATCTGTCCACGAATCATGTAAAGAAACAGGTAAACTGAAATATAAATGTATTTAAATTTTATTGAGACATTTATCGATATATTTCAGTTGAAATTGCACCAGACAAATGTGATACTGCCTTTAATTTGGCCAAATGTGCAAAAGAAGCAGGCAAAAAGGTGATATGAAAGTTAATTCCATTGAAATCTTTGTGTATAATATTATTTTATTGTTTCTAGGCGGGCATAGATGTAGGTGAGGCGTAAAATATTAATATAGGAAGGACAATTTAGATTTATAATAAATAATATATACACTCAGTAAAATAAACAGCATTTTAAAAATATCTCATTTTGTTTTATTTACCTGACTCGTCTGTTAAACCCTAATCACCCCTGTTATAATTTTTAATCAAATTCAAATGATTATAGTGCCCTCTTTGGAAATTTAGATAAACATGAGGCACCTAGAGATACAGAATACTGTATTCAGTAAATGATATTACTAGCAACTTTCCCTAGGGGGCGCCACAATATATAAAACATTGCCAGAGTGAGGGAATTCTGTAAAAAAAATATTAAAATTCAATAAAAATGTTATCAACTATGCTTCTTCTTTGTAATTAAGTTTTATAATTAATTAAAATAGAACACTCTGTACTCATGCTATATGTCACTGCTAGCAAAAATACGAGAAAAAATTTAAAATATATAGAGATTATTAGAAAATTAAATAGCCTGTAAAGCTATAATAAAAGCTATGACAACATTGACTTTCCTTCTTGACATTATTTTGACATTTGCCATGTTCCATTTTTTGTTGTCAGTTGGAAAATAATAACCAAGCAGGGATGATGTCCATTTCTTTTAAACTGTACACCATTTCTTGCACATGAAGCACACAAAATGACTATAATTGTATTTTTAATTGATACATCAGCTTCTATGTTTCAAAGGTAAGGGTTTAAATATTTACCGAGTTTAAGTAAGGTTATGTTGACATATGCGGTTAGAGAGTGGCTAAAAATACCGCCCACCGTGGATTTATTTAAACTGCTTAAAGTTACGGTAAAAATGTTTACAATTTACGTTTTTAAATTATTTTTTTAGAACTTACATAGGAGGTAGGACAACGTTATTGGATGTAGCAAAATCTGCAGTTGAAACCTTTGTGAAAATACGACAAAGAAGTATTGATAGCAGGATAGATAGGTATATGTTATTAACTTTTGAAGAGAGTCCAAATAACATTAAAGCAGGTAAATTTATTGTTATTTTCCTGTATAATTTCTGTTTTTCTTTAACTCTTTAAACTTATGTGATTTTGTAGGATGGAAAGAGAACTTGGCTACTTTTATGAATGAATTAAAAAACCTCCAGTGTTATTCTATGACTACCATGGGGGTAGCAGTGAAACAAGCCTTTGATATTCTAAATATTAACAGAATGACTTCAGGAATAGATACTTATGGACAAGGAAGGTGTCCTTTCTTTTTAGAGACTGCTGTTATAGTTTTAATTACAGATGGTGGAAAATTAACAACAGGTAATACTTATATCGCAACAAAAACATATATTGAGGGTGTTAGAGAAGCAATGTGTTTTGGATGTCTTTTGAGAACTGTTATATTTAAAATAATTTGATAAGTTCCAGAATGTCAAATATAGAAAACTTATTTTTTAATATGGAACACCCTATAAATATAATGTAAATATGTAGTAAATTATTTTTAATTAAGAGATGAATTAATTAATTATTAAACAACAGGCGTCATTAAAATTGTAGCTTAAAAATATGACAAGGCTTGGTGAATCTCAGTTAATTTTAAAAATTCCAACTGCAGCGCTCAACACGACAGAAATCGGAAGTTTTCGCTCTGTATTTAACGCAGTTCCTATGTTGATCGCATTGAAATAATATTAAAATCGTGGCTTTGTCGTAATATTCAAGTATTTTAGTTTTTAATAGTGCAGTTATTGAAACTACAAAGCACTCAGGTACGAGGTTTGTGTGATGTGGGACATACTTAAAAACTTAAATACTAATTTTTTTATGAACATATAAAATTATAATTATGTACCTTTAAAAAATTTTCATAGGTAACTGAAATAGCCCCAGTTATGTCTCCGCTAGCAAAATTGGTGCGTAAAACTATGCTAGCTACCGTAGTTGAACTCATCTAAAAAGTTTTATTAACATGAATAATGAATTATAATACAAGTTAGACCTGAAGATATCAAAATATTTACTTTTTTTATTTTTAGAATTTTCTCAAATTATACCTACTATCTAACACTTTTAGAATAATTTTATACTATTTTTTTCGTATATTTGCTATTTAAATCCGTATATTTGTATATGCCGGTTGTTTACGATATTTTCCGATGGTGGCAGCACCGACGCGCAGCGGAGAATGCACCAAAAAAAGACCAAGCCAATACCATAGATAAAGGAAATAAATTTAGATTGGGGATCCCCTTTGAATAAGAAGACTAAGGAAGGAGCATATTGCTATCCATGTATTCATGCATGGTGGGCGGAAAAAGCACCATTAAAGCACTCTAGGGTGGGGATCCTTGACAGTTCTGTTTGACGATTCATTTGACACATTTGAATTTGATTTGAAATTTTGTGGATTTGTCAGTCTTTACGGAGCTTATTTTATGTTATTTATTATTTATTCTACTACTGATAGTTGTATAAAGGTAGTAAATCTAGATGGAAATTGTGGCAGAACTTAAATTAACAGTGACACTATCGCGATTTATCGAAAAAGACTCTAAAATAGTTGGTTGTGTAGCGTGCGGTAGATCTCGGCAAAAATTGAGTGAAATAATGGAACAACTTTTCGCTAGTAAGTGACTATATAATATACATACGTGTAGTAAACCGATCATTTATGAAATTCACTTAAATTAACTAAATTATATATTTTTCTTGCATTTTAGCTTTTATTTATTACTTGTCAAAGAATTTAGATACGTTAATTTGACTTACCTGCTTCAGTAGCGTATCGGATGTTTGTGGAAATAAAACAACAAATTATTGAGTCTACCCCACGTCTACCCTACATCATAGTTTTACATTTTTTAAATAAAATTAGAACGACACTGATAAACCGGAATTTAAGTCGGCCATATTTGAGGCCCATCGCGGTGTACCTAAGATTTTTGATATGCTCCTTCCTTAGTCTTCTTATTCAAAGAGCATAATGCTATCCATGTATTCATGCATGGTGGGCGGAAAAAGCACTCTAGGGTGGGGATCCTTGACAGTTCTGTTTGACGATTCATTTGACACATTTAGCGGCCATATTTGAGGCCCATCGCGGTGGACCTAAGATTTTTGATATGTTCCTTCCTTAGTCTTCTTATTCAAAGGAAATTCCAAAGGAAATCCCGTCAAAATATATAATTATTGTTTTGGGTCGCGACCGTTGTACGCGATATGGCGCTGCTATAGCCGTTGCTAAGAACAACCGCCAAAGGATAACAGAAATAATTTTCTCTTGTCAACGTCAGAATCTTCAAAAATTTTTCAAAATTTAAACTGCCCTCATTGAAAAAATACCGAAAAGTGTTTAAAGCGTCCATTCTTGAAGTAATTATTGCTATCTTGTGAGTTTAATTTAAATTTTACTTACTCAAACTCGTGATAATTGTAAAAAAGTGGCATTAAAAACTAAAAAAGCTGTGTTGCAAAAACCATCGTGAATCGTGGCATAACGTCAGTTTGATCCAGGAATGTTTCATAGGTATTTCACATACATGTCCTTCTATAAAATAAAGCTTCTTGTATGCAACACACTGTATTTTATTTATAAAATTAAAAGAAAATAATAAATTTGAATGAATAATATTTGGCGACAAAATTCCGGAAAACGCCGAACCGATCCGAAATTATCTAAAGCTTTGGGGCGCGACCGTTGCCAAAATAGCGCCAAATAGTGTTTACATTGTCCTTATGGCCACTTTCCAATCTAAACTTCTTTCTTTTTATCTATGGCCTATACCTATTTAAATTATGTCCACGAAAAACGTGTCGCATACAAGGTAATTCTGTTATTACCTACAATATTCCACGTTAAATAACATGAATATTTCTATAACTGTCTATTTTTTCTTAGCCAATGGCGTACAAGAAGAATTTAACTTGCCAATGACCTCTCCAATTCCTGGATCAGAAATGACGAGGGAACCGTTCAGATGGGACCAGAGACTTTTTGCCTTAGTCCTAAGATTATCAGGTAATAATAACGTTTTAAATGTATGATTCTCATATTAATAGTAACTAATTAGGGACGCCTGCTGCCGAGAGAGACACTGGACTTGTACCAAGTGATAGCAGCCCAATTGATGCAATGTGTGAGGTAACCGGCGGAAGATCATACTGTATTACATCACACAGGATGCTCAATCAGTGTATTGATAGTTTAGTCCAAAAGGTATTTAAATTGAACCATTAATTTTGGAAAAGGTGTCTAAAATTCTTGTGTTTTTAGGTTCAAAATGGGGTAGTTATTAATTTTGAAAAAATTGGACCTGATCCTCCCCCTCCCCAGCCAGACAAAGAAGATGGAAAAGAAGATAGTTTTGAATTGAGTGAGAATGATAGAAACCAATCGAATATTGCACACAATACTCCTTGGCATAACTGTAGAAAAATGATCTATGTGCCTAAAAATACAAAATACTGTGTTGGTAAGAAGTTTTTTTTTTTAACTATTTTATAAACAACAATAATATACTAGGGTGCTGCATATGAACTTTTATCAACAACAATTTTTAAATATCACAATGGTCGCGTTCATCAGGACAAGTTGATCAGTGAGTGATGTGCCATGTATTGGTTGTCCTGCTGAACGCGCTTTTTAGCATCCCTTAGATAAGGAACTCTCTATCCTTGTCTAAGAAGCATCATAACAACTTAACCTAACTTTATGTGTTTGTATTTTGATTCAAAAATCCAAATCTATAGATTTTATATTTTGATTTTTGCACCTGTACTCTTCATGTACTTTTGTACATTAATTTGCTTTCAATTTCAACAATGAATCCTATCCAAACAGCATTATCAATCAGTGCTAATTGCTCAAAAAGACACTCTAGATGTAGGTCTAATAATAGCACGAGCGGTTGATCTTCTTCAGCTAGTAGATCACCCATTTTTGGCACAAATCGAGGGGATTTTAGTCAACCGAGAACAATAAACAATATGGTTTGTTTTCGTTTTCTAAAACATTTTGTGACATTTGGCGTATGTGACGTTTAATCCATCATGCATCGGTAGCGTAGCGTATTTTAAATCTGATGGAAAAAATGGCGACTGATCCCAGAGCGCTCACAACTAATCGGCGCGTTCAGCAGAAAATTAGTGATCGCTGCAGTAGCGCTACAGTACGTCTGTTCGTTCTGTAGCTACGGGGTATCCGTGAGAGGGGAAACGATATTTTCTCCATGTTTTTCGTAAAAAATTAGACGACGCGTCCCATCAATAAAAATTCGACAAATTTGCAAGTGGCCAATAAAATGAGTGGGCGGAGCGATTTGCGGTGATGTACTCGTCAAGTCGACGTATAAAATACGACGTTATTTATTTAAATGTTTTTTGTCCGCATTCCTTTCATAGACACAGATACAGCAGACGTACTGTACGTCCTGATGAACGCGACCAATATTCCATTTTATGCAAACTTTCTGGCACCCACTGTATATCTATCTATATATCATACCTTTGAATAAGAAGACTAAGGAAGGAGCATATCAAAAATCTTAGGCACACCGCGATGGGCCTCAAATATGGCCGACTGAAATTCCGGTTTATCAGTGTCGTTCTAATTTTATTTAAAAAATGTAAAACTATGATGTAGGGTAGACGTGGGGTAGACTCAATAATTTGTTGTTTTATTTTACGTTGTGAATAAATGTTGGTAGTTATTAAAATTGTTATAAAAATACATAATTCTAATAAAAATAGATAAGTTATAATAAGTATTTATTACCACAAACATCCGATACGCTACTGAAGCAGGTAAGTCAAATTAACGTATCTAAATTCTTTGACATCTAATCTTTGACAAGTAATAAATAAAAGCTAAAATGCAAGAAAAATATATTATTTAGGCAATTTAAATGAATTTCATAAATGATCGGTTTACTACACGTATGTATATTATATAGTCACTTACTAGCGAAAAGTTGTTCCATTATTTCACTCAATTTTTGCCGAGATCTACCGCCCGCTACACAACCAACTATTTTAGAGTCTTTCGATAAATCGCGATAGTGTCACTGTTAATTTAAGTTCTGCCACAATTTCCATCTAGATTTACTACCTTTATACAACTATCAGTAGTAGAATAAATAATAAATAACATAAAATAAGCTCCGTAAAGACTGACAAATCCACAAAATTTCAAATCAAATTCAAATGTGTCAAATGAATCGTCAAACAGAACTGTCAAGGATCCCCACCCTAGAGAGCTTTTTCCGCCCACCATGCATGAATACATGGACAGCATTATGCTCCTTCCTTAGTCTTCTTATTCAAAGGATCATACCAAATAAAATTTTAGTCATGTGATTAAGCTTGACCCGCACAGCGTTGCCAACTTTTACATATTTTCTTTTAATCAAAATATTTTCGCAAACAAAAATAAATTAATTTATAAATATATATTTCATATAAATTAAATTTTTAGATATGTAATTGAGGGCGCAATTTTTAAATTCATTGTTGCCAACCATCGACATATTCGGCGCCGTGCTGACTAGCTGGAATTTGCTGTAAAAATGTCAAGTTGCCACATTTATTTATTTATTTCCTGACATTGTCATTCGTTTGACACTTTAGTTTTGTATTACGGGTTTTTGGTTTAAATAAATAGTGTCGTGATACTTTAAGCTTCAAAATGTTTACTAGCAGACCTTGCAGTCGAACATTGTTCTTTTTAGAACCTCTTTTAGTTCGAAATGTACAAGATAGCTTAATAGCCGTAAAAAATTCATCGCAACTTTATAAGAATATTTTGAACGGGAAACCGGTAGTAATGGCCCTTTATATCACTTAAGTGGTGAATCAAACCAAACCATTACTACCGCTTTCCCGTTTAAATTATTATATTATTTTTATAATAAGGTTACAATGATTTTTTTGCTACGGCTATTAAGCCATCTTGTATACTTCGCACTAAAAGAGGTTCTAAAAAGAACAATGTTTGACTGCAAGTCTGCTAGTAAAATTTTTTAAGCTTAAAGTATGACATCGAAATGCATTTAAATCAAAAACTCGTAATACAAAACCAAAGCGTCGAAAAGAATGACAATGTCAGAAAATAAATAAATAAATGTGACAACTTGACATTTTTTACAGCAAAGGTACCACCTGAATCCTCAGCGGGAAATTTAAATTCCAGTTAGTCACATCGGCGCCGAATATGTCCATGGTTGGCAACAATGAATTTAAAAATTGCGCCCTCGATTACGTAACTAAAAGTTTATTTGGTATCGCTTATATAGTTTGTGAAACGAATAACTTTGAATTTGACAGTTCCCGCGGGCTTTTCTAGTGTAAATTTTATTAAGTTAGCAACTTGCGGCCATGCTGATGCAATGCCGTCTCTAATAGAACAGCCTCGGAGCGAGATTTATGACGTCACGCTAGTTAGATACTAGGGATTAATTATGTTGTAGAATACATGGAAAACATAATTATTCCTCGTATATGTAATTTTTTGGATTATATTCGACACTATTTTTTTCATATGACACAACACTGATGAAGGCTATTCCTATTTTAAACCAAAAAAATAATGAAAAACCAAATGAAAACTTATTCAGCGTTTTTCCCGAACCTAAATCCCATGAAAATCAAAAATTTTAGAGTAATTTTACACATAAAATTACAGCGATCTTTGTTTCATAGCCATCGCTGTCGCCTTTTTTCTATGATATTGTATTATTTGCAAATATAATTTTTCGAACATTGATTCTGATTCATTGATTAATTTCGTGAATGCAAATAATAATATATCACTATTAGTAGATATTCAATGTTTTTTGTTAAATTAGATCGATTTTCAAACCCCAAAATTTAAAATATATTTTACATTTTACCCATTATCTTATGTACCTATTCATTATTTGTATATTGTAAAACATTTGCTGCATTTGTATGGTTCATAGTTTATTTGCCAAAGTATTTATTACTATAAATAGGTATATATTATGGAGTCTAAAAGGAGGAGGCGAATCGAACGCAAAAATTATGGGCCCAGTTTTTGAGATCTAAATGAAGTTCGAAAATCGCCGTTAGGGGCGCTTGTGATGATTGGGATACTAGAAATACACAGCTTCTTATGGCAAGAATAACTATTTTGTTATAAATTATAGAGCCAAGTTAATATTTGGGCATATTTTTACCAGAGTTAGCTTTTAGAAACGTGGTTTTTCTAATTGAGCAATGTGCGTGGCTAAAATTGTGAATACAAACCTTAAATTTGAGTTTGAAAAGTTAGTTAGGTTATATTAGATGCCGGTTTAATATATCCTTTTCCTAAGTTGATATTATAAAAATGTTTTATTATGTGGTTCTTTTTAGTGCATACACGACCGAAGAAACATATAAGCTGCTAAAATAAATCTTCCCTAGAACTGTTGTACAAAAAAGATAGAAGTTCCAGCAACAAATTTATCACCAGTTCAACCTTTGATTTGATGTAAACAGTAATTGTTTCTTGATGAGAAATGCGAATGAAATAGTTTATGGTGTGATTGTGTTAGTGTTTTATTAATAGTTTTGTTGATGCAGTTTAAAGGTTCATAGTATTTCATTAAAACATAGGTTCATAGTGTTTCATTAAAACATTTGAAATTGACATGTTTACATGCAGTTTAGTGTGATACCATTTTAATAAACATTAAAATCTTTCGAACTAGTAGTGGTTTTATGGCGATTGACAGATTGAATAACGAAAATTAAGAGTATTTTATCAGGAATAACTTAATCATAAATGGAAACTGAAGACGAACGTTACCATTGCACCCTTTGATCGGTGTTATCTATTCCATAACTTTTTATAGCTGAAACTAGAGAGTAGGTATATTGAGCTGAAACGTTTCCTGTGTTCAATAGCGTTTTTCTAGCGTTGAATTGTAAGTTTTAATGTCATTAGCAAAGTTTTGCAAATTGTCACTGTTTAGTAGACAATTAAATTCAAGATATATTATATTCAATGTCACCTAATAATTGTAAAGGTTTTTCTATTGATATTCACTTTATTAATATAAGGTAGGTTTGTAAATAAAATATTAATGAATAAATAATGTACTCAGTTTATTTCAAAAGCACAAAAATACAGAGTTGTGAATATGTATATACGCTGACTTATTTCATCATATAAATATTTATTTAGCAATATTAATACATTACAACTTTTGTTTCTATTAACTAATTCCACTAAATTTAATAAATAAAATATACAATATATAAATTTAATATACAATTTAGCACTTAGATATTAAATATCTATATGTACTATGCCAAAAAATAAAACAGGAACATCATATTATATCAAGAACACAAAAAATTACAATTTAAAAAAAAATGCATTCTAAAAAATACCTAGCTACAATATACCTACATATTAATTTAAAGAGCTTATTCATATTCATAAAAACTATTCTAAATGGTTTATATACACAATCAAAAGTATCAACCACAATACAATAATTTTCAAATTATTTCTTATTATTCCTCAATGAAAAAGCGTCTTGCGACGGCTAGTCAAAAATCTAAATAATTTTTATAATAAATTTACAATCTGACATATGCAAATATGTCAGTAGTAATACGTAATTTTACTTTATGAAATTACTACATCATGTCTATTTTTAGCATTGGATACTCGAGCCGCAGCAAAACACATTCTTACTGCTTCTTGCTGGGTACTTGGTAAAGTGGCTATAATTTCTTCGAGAGCTTCACTCGAAATAGCAGCACATTTTTCTTGGAGTCCTCAACATCCTTTATAAGTTTAGTAATCTGTAGAAGATAAAATTGAAAAAAAATATATGCAAGCAAATATGTGACATTACCTTTAATTTTAATCTCATGTTCTTGCGAGAAACACAACGCACCACTCCTTTTAATTTTTATGGCGCCTTACTAACAATGACTTAACCATTTTCTTTTTTATTTTTATTATCCAATTGACAAGAGGTGCAATTCTTTGAAATTGCCCCCTTCTGTCCAGGCCTTCTGAGGGGAATCACACCAGTGCATGAATCAGAAGCGCTACAATACAAATAAGAATTAAAAACTTAATATTAATTATAATTTTATAACTTTTCCCAAAATGTTAAAACCACAAACAACACCATAATTAACAGAAAATAATTTGTAATGAACGATTGATTAGACACAACTGATGTAGATTGACCATGCAAAATGAAACATGCAGAATCATGAAATATTATAATCCATGACCACAAACACCATAAAATTAATCACATAACACATAGATAATGCAACAAATCGAAAAATACTCAAGATTGTAAATAAGCAAAGCCATTTCCCTTTGATGATATTTTTTGTTGTTGACAGATTAGACTGATAGTCAAAAACAAAAAATCAATAATATTATGATAGTTGAAACCATTTTTTTTTTTTTCAATTTGTTGCAATTAGATTTATTAGTAGAGGTAAAAATCAAGTGTAACTTTTCATACACAGCTGCTGTGTGCATCTGCCATTTGTTTAATTCCATTCCAGTCAATGGTCTTCCATTTAAATCGCTTCAATCTGCAAACCTAAAAATTTATTTGTTTTGAATGCGTAATTTGAGACAGTGGATAAATAATTAAGACGTAAATAGTTTGAGCCACATGGTTGCTTTATTTTCAGCAAGTCTTACCTACAGCATACTTCAACTCCTTCGTATGCTAACCATAAGAAAATAAAAATGTATATATTACTAGTCTAAATATTGAGAATTAGGTATACTGAGAATTATTATATCTAATAAGTAAATAAAAACAACTAATAATATTACCATAGCTTAATTTCAGAACAGACTCCCATTCTATTGACAGATATTAATATGTTTTCAAGTTCTTCAAAACTAGATATTTCTGAACTTTTCTCTTCAAAAGTAATTTCTGTTTTCCCAAATAAAACCTTAAATAAGTAAATTAAAACACAACTTTATACCAACAAAAATAAATACTTAATATCTACCTTATAAGACATATCCTTGCAAATTATAATTTTTTTTTTTGGCAAGTAAGTATCATCCCACTCAGCAAAGACTATTTCATTTGAACCTGAAATAAATGTACCTGCCCATCGCTTGTTTGGTGTGCCAACTGCAGCCAAACTATTTTTCAAATTTGTGAACATAGTAACTCTACTGTCTGTAACATCAACTGGCACATTAGTAATATCACGAAGAATTTCATTCTCATTCTCAAAGTTAGGTTCTGAAGTTTGATTTTCAACATGATTAATAGGCAGACCTTTTACTTTTTTTGAATTAGAAACTTTTTCAGTTGCTTCACTCCTTACACATGGTGGTTTCCTCTTTCTTTTATTACTAGAGAAATATGAAGGCAGGTTAGGAAAAATTCTTGGAATTGAACCCTCCTTTAATAATGGTCTACCCCGCTCAATTCTACTGATAGTTCCGTCAGTTAATTTGATCTCATAATGAGTCAAAATATCTTCATCTAGAAAATGTAGTTCACAAACAGCATCTTTGCTGCTAAGTGTCTTGTCTGATCTGGGTATCGCCTTTTGCCACTGCTGTAGCAAGCTAGGATCCTAATAAAAGATATATAATTGTTAAATAAAATAAAAAAAAAACATTTTTCACTATTAAAGCTGTTATTTTGAGAATACGATCTTGAAGTATAAATATTTAATATTCACTTTCAATAGCACTGTTCAAACTGTGGTTAATATAGGTACATGTCAACAGGTAATTTTAGCACCTAGTAAGTATTAAATTATTTTAATTTTATAACAAGGCCTCCTAGGTTATGTTATACACATGTTGATTTTAGGCTATATTTCCTATTAATTTGGTTTATAATTTAATCTGTACACTGACAGTATATAATTTTAATGTTTTTCTTAACATCTATCCATAATTTTTATAAATAAATAGTCATACTACTTACATTAGGAGCTTTGAAAAGGCTTGGGTTTCTTTCACCCCGTTCTTTATTTGCCTTGTTTTTATTGGGATTCCCACTTGTACAGCCAGGTACAAAGCAATTTCTACCACGACTCATTGTTGTACTGCTAAAAATTCAGTAAATTAACTATAAATTTTATTAAAAACACAATTAAATCGTATACTAACAATGAAAATGTAGTATCCCAGTCGATCGCAGTGCCTCTGCTGTCAAACCGAGGAAGCTGCTTAAAAGTGGGGACTGCATTTGTATGGTTCATAGTTTATTTGCCAAAGTATTTATTACTATAAATAGGTATATATTATATTGTATTTATTAACTGTATATTATGTATATTTTATGTAAACAATATAATTTTTAAAATACAAACCAAACATACAAGGAATAATTATGATTTCCATGTATTCTACAACATATTTATTAATCCGTGGTATCTAACTAGCGTGATGTCATAAATCTCGCTCCGAGACTGTTCTATTAGAGACGGCATTGGTCTGATATTTAGAAATGTCAAAGGCTGATGACATTTTACTTTTGTCAATTATGACATTTTCCGTTAATTTTTGAAGAGGAAGAACTGTCACTTGTTTTATTATTTTCCTTTTCTATTTCACGAAAGTAAAAAGAGTTACCTATCTGATTCGTTCAGGCACTCATTTTAAAAAACCGTAATCTTAATCTGTAATCAGTAACTTTTTGGATAGAGGGATTTTATATTTGCCATGTTGGTAAAAAATAACGGTCAAAATTCAAAGTTATTCATGTTATAGACTATACTTCTGTTTTCTATTAGGATTTTGGCCCATACCTGAGTCATTTTGGCCAGAAGTGACAGCTAGCGTTTTGCCTCCAAGATCGGCCCATCCAAATGTCAAATTTACTTGTACAAATTCAGAACCATTAGTTATTGAGAATTTACCCTTTGATAAATATGAATTAGAACCATCGCCCCTCACGCAATATATTTTATCTAGGAAACAGCCCAAAACTTGCTGGCAGGTTGGCATTTTGAAATAATACAGGGTGACCAAATGTTCTAAAAAATATATTATAAAAAGAGAAATACAAATAACCATACGAACGAAAAAAAAACGGAATCGGAAATGGCTTGAAAATGTAGATTGCTGTCATTTTGTATTGTCATTGGTCATCGTCTTCCAGCCATCTTGACACTGTTTTTTTATTATACGGCATACAAGCCATGTGTTCTATTTGAGATTTTTACTAAAATATTTTTTATGAAATATGCTTGCAAAAATACACATTTTCGGAGATATAAACAGGGTGATTCAAATATATTTGTAGACCAAATAAATAGTTATGAAATAAATAGCCACATGTCTTCTTTTTATGTCACAGTGGCTGTGGTGATCACTAAATTTGACTTTTAGGCTACATAAATTTTTTTGACAGGTAGTTTTTTTCATTCAAAAATTTTAATAACCAATTTTTTATCCAAATATTGACGTTACTTCAGAAATTATTTGGAAAAAATCAAAATAAAAATGAAACTTCAACACCCTGTATCTCCGAAAATAAGCATTTTCGGACATACATTTATACGAACTTTTTTACTTATTATTATCTGCAGAATATGATGCTGAAGTTTCCCGAATACAGTTCGGACCACCCTGTATATCGCAAAACAAGCAAGAAAAACTATACAATATAAAAATATTTTTATATTTGCAAAACTGTAGTTTGACCGTCAAAATATATTAAAACGCTGTATAATTATAAAATATTTTGAAAATGACTTACTATTGCCTGTATATTTTATAATAAAATTTGAAATAAAAATCACAAATAGAACACTGATATGGAGCTATTTCAGAACACTGGTCCACTCTGTATATTCTCTGTTGCTGCAGTATTTTAATTTGGTTTTTGTAGGTTTTTGTGGCAAATAGTTATAAAAATTCCGAGGTAGGCCATCCATTTGGTTATTTAAAAGCCAGTACAAACTTGAGTTGTGTAAATTTGTTCGTGATGCCATATAACTATCCTGTGTTACTTCCATTACTAGATGACTTATTTAAGGTAAGATAAAATTGTTAAATCAGCTAAAAAATATTGTTAATCGTTGCGCTTTTCAGTGTTTATTATGTATTATACAGGGCGTCACAGAAATAGGTGCAAGTAGTAGTTCGACCTCAGAAACACGCCAATGAGTTTTGTGCCAAAATTTTTTATTTTTCTTAATATTCTCCGGAAAATATTGAAAAACCTTTGAGCGCCGCTTGTTCAGTTTTCGGAAATTTGTTCATATAGTCTGTCCAATGACAAGATCCTTGACAGTAATAGGTGTGTCTGTCACTTTAATTTCAAAGTAGTTTATTTTATTTTACAAAGAAATAAGTTGGTACTACTGGAACGCATAGCAGGAAATATATTTAAAATTTGATTGACAAGTGATTATTTCAAAATATTGTAAAAAAAACTGTATAAAACTGAAAAGTGCCATCGAGTTATTTTATTTAAAAAAAAACGATATGTGTTAATACAAAACAAACAAGAACTTAACACCACATACCGAAAAATATAAAAAAGAACTATTTCAAGCTTCAAGAAGCTTTCCGCATTTATTATTATATTAATTTATCAATATAACTTATGTACAAATACAAATTTGTAATATTCCACAGGAATAAATAAAACAACATAAATAAAACAAACTATTTTATTAATAATAACACTTACCAAATTTTATACCTTAAAGCTATTAATTAACTTTAATCTTAATTTTTTTTAAACGAGTACCTTTTGACATTATTTTTCTGCAGTACTAAAATCCATTATTTACCTATCGTGTGATGTCGATATTTTAAAGCTACTCCAGTTTTTAGTATATGTTTAGTATGATCCTTGTACCATATACAAGATGCACTTATCTACGATGAGATGGTATATAAACTTTATTGATGGTAGCTTTATTGGTGTATTAACACTTTCTGCCTGGGTAACTAGAAACTGTGCTTTGGGTCTACAATTAATTTTTCCTCGATTCTTCCTCCACTTGACTTCATAATACAAAAAACACACGTAATAACACGAATGAAAATGAATCATCTTCTAAAACGTAGGATATTTGACATAAGTTAACACAAAATTATAACCTATAATTTGGCAAGACTTTGACAAGGATCAAAAATCTAAAGGCATCGGCGTCCGCTTGTCTTTCATCGCTCCGTCAAACCAATAAAATTGAAATATGATCTGTCATTTTTTAAATAAACCAATAAAACTGATTAAATATAGAATAAACCAATAAAACTGAAATTGAACTGATTTATATTTAAACCCATCCATAGTTAGCTTAAAAAATATTAGAAACTTTTTTTAGTAAAATAGATTGGTATGGCACGTCAAAAAAACAGAGTATAGCGCTTCGAAAGAATGCAATTTTGCCACCTCCTATATTACCCACATTTTGTATGTTTATAAGTTATTAAGTTCTACTTAGCTGCTTAAAAACTTCATCTTCAATGGTTTTACTAAATACTTTGATTTAAGATTCACAGATGGAAACCTAGCAATGAATGGAGGACAGCTTTTCAAAATTATACCAGAACCTTACCAGCGTATTATGCAAGTTCGTTACGAAGAGCTCTAACGAGAATGGGTATTTTATATATAAATTGTCAAATTTTCTGTTTTTGATTGAATATTGATTTAGGTACTCCTGTAGCTTTAGCGCAGACTCTCATACCAGAGACTTCTGATAATTTTCTGAGTTATTCCGTACAAAATTATTTGAAAAGAGTGAAGAATCAAGCGAAAATCGAGCATGATAAGTTGTGTAGCGAAATTATTCAACGTCAAGCTAATGTAAGTATTTACTGCACTCACCGGCAAAAAAAACTCACTAGATTTTGATGATTTTTTTTTAAATTGTAAATTAATTCCTTCTTAGCGGAAGCTACGTCAGCAATTTTTATTTCGAATTTATTTTGAGCATATACAGGACACAACAATAAGACGAAGTTTTTTGCCCGAGCTTTGTAACACCCTGTAGGGTGCAGCAGCTGTAGTAGCTATTGCTTAATCAAATCACATTGTAGCCTCATCTTTTGTGAGCATTTATTTTTTTTCATCAGGACATTATCTCTGTTTGTATTGGAGATACGCTGCTTTAAAACAAACGCATCGAAAAAAGCTTTAAAAACAAATCAAACATCAGAACGGAGGTAAGTTTAATCTGAAAACTAACTAAAACATGAAAATTAAAAAGAAAGGTAAAGAAATTTTAAGGGTTTACTCGCCTGGTGAAATTTCCCGTTTCCATTTAGCGATTTTAGCATCCTGGACTGTTGTTCGAAATATACCCAGGGTATCGGAGACATAACGTTGACTTCGCCCATCCTCAATTAAAACCACAATACGAGCAACATCAGTTACAGATAATGGCATTTTTTAATTTGACAACCGTTGTTGTCATATTGCGAATACTCATAAATCCGTTTTCGCCTATATCGCGTCGCCTTGGTTATTTATACATAAAACTTCCTGCCTGCGAAGCATATTTCCGAGACGTTCGTTTTAAAACCATACCTCCAATACAAAAAGAGATAGTGTGGTGATTAAAAACACAAAATGCTCACAAAAGATGAGGCTACAATGCGATTTAATTTAGCAACAGCTACTACCGCTGCTGCACCCTACAGGGTGTTACAAAAGTCGGGCAAAAAACTTCGTCTTACTGTTGTGCCCTGTAATGCTCAAAATAAATTCGGAATAAAATTTCTGACGTAGCATCCGTTAAAAAGGAATTAATTTACAATTTAAAAAAAAATCATCAAAATCTAATGAGTGATTCGCGAGAAATCCAACTTTGAAATTGGGTTTAGTTTTTAGTGGCCGTTTTTTTTTTGCCGGTGAGTTTATTATTTCAGGTTTAAAATAACAAAGACTATTGAAATAAATTAACTGATTGAAAATTGTCCAATTTATGGCTGAAATGTTTTTCTGTTGACTTTTTGTCGCGTTTTATGGTAATTGTATTGATTTTTTTTACATTTTTTATAGCTAAATGGTTTGAAAACCAACTTCAACTCGCCAGAACAAATCAGGGTTTTACCGAAAGTGACTTTAAAGAAGGACTTGGTCAGTCATCCGCTTTTGCATGATAGATTCCAAGGTCAGAAGGACCAAATTCTCGAGCAAGGCAATGTTTTCGTTAGTTCTTTAGATAAGGAGAGACAGACAGTTAGCTTTAAGAATCCATTCGATATACCGAGAAATAGACTAATTCAACAGGTGAGTAAATATATTTAATATTCTGCAATATATTACTTTAATATTGTTCATATTTTTTAAATTAATATTCAATAGTCCGTCTAGAAAGTATCCGGAATTTTATATTATTTCTAATTTTAATGTATTTTTTTTCTGTAACACTCTAAGACAACAGTAATCCAATGTAGGTTGTGCCAATAGTAGGCTATGACCAAAATCGTATGGCAACACCATCTGTCAAATATTGTTGATTGTAAACTGGCTTAAGATTTAAGAAATAATGTCGCAAGTAAAAAAAAAAGAGAAATGATGATGGAATATTTGTATAGAAAAGGTGTTCGAAACGTTAAAAAATTAGTGCAATTGACTGAACTCGGAAAAAGTGCATTATATGAGATAATAAAGAGGATAAAAAATGGCACAGATATGAAGCATGGACGCTTTAGTGGCATTGGGACGACAGAATCCGCGCCTAGGGTTTCGCAAATTGGCTAACAGATTCGGAAGTCAGCGAAAATTAAAAGTCTGTCCAGAAACCGTCCACATGTCACTGAAAAGACAAGACTACATATCAAGGAAACCAAAAAAAATCCCTGCAATAACACCTCTACAAAGGCAGCAAAGAATGGATTTTTGTCAACGTTTGAAAGAAGATAATTTTAATAATGTTTTTATTTCTGACGAAAGTTGTTTCCAACTTGGTGGAAACCACCTAAAAATCCTGTCAAAAAAATATGTTACCGTTCGAGTTTCAAAATTTCCTACTAAAATAATGGTTTGGGGAGCAATATCTCAGCGTGGTGCTACACCTTTGTGTATAGAGGGGTGGCGCTTTCAGCAGGATAATGCAAGATGCTATACGTCTGCCTATACTCAAGCTTGGATGCAAGAACACCGTTTGGCAATAATTCCATGGCCAGCAGCTTCACCAGACCTTAGTCCCATTGAAAACATATGGGGACTAATGAAGATTGAAGTGGAACGAGCAACTCCACGAAATAAACAAGATTTGATTCGCTCAGTTTTACAGGCGTGGACTACCGCCATTGAACATTATGGTGTGGACTTAGTTTCGGGTGTACCTAGACGTTTAGTTAAGTGTTTGGAGTTAAATGGAGGTTGTATAAGTAAATAAAATTAATAATTTGTTATAATTTTTTTAACTCAAGTCCTAAAAATATATATTGATAATTGTAATTTTGCTTTCTTTTTTCCGGATACTTTCTAGACGGACTATACAATAAATAATTTCACAACATCATAATATATTAATATATAGGACTTATAAAAATACATTAAGATTTTAAAAATATTAAAAAGCAGAGTGAAACTAAATAAAATAATTCTTTATTCTACATCCTACAGTTATGTGTAAATAGTTTCCAATAAAAGAATATTTTTATTATGCAGTAAATAAATAAATAAATAAATAAATGCCTTTATTGTCAAAAAATTTTTCAATTTGTAGACAAAGGTAAACTAACAAACAAAGTAAAAAAACAAGGTACACAAACAAACAAACAAAAGATAATACACAACATTATACAAATAATATTGTCAGTCTTATTGTTTAAAATAAACATTTATAAATGTTTACAATGTCAAAGAACAAAAAAATAAAAATAATATTCAAAAATATTTAGTTAGTTTATAGTAAAATATCAATGACCTCTAAATAAATTTATTTCGATGTCATTAGTAAATATAGCAATAGCAAACATTAGACCAGTGTTTACAAGATCAAATTCGATTTTCAAAATATAATTCATTTACGGCTTAGAAAGCCTTGTCTAGTAAATAAGAGTTCAATGCTTTGCAGTAGAAGTGGTAAAATGTCAAGTAGGAAGTTAACAAGAGTGGCAGAATGCTTACTTATGAAATATATTAGGTTAGGTTAGGTGAGGTTGTTGGGGTTTGTGATCCTATATTATTGTATACCAAATTTTCCTGTCATTCTTTCTTTGCGTTAAAGCACTTCCAGGTCTTTGCTTTATATTACAATTACTTCTCTTATAGGTTGTGAGAATGCGAAACAATTTCCTGCAACCCGATTGGATATCTCAAGATTTAGATAGCGCCCATTCCTTGCCTATCTCTCAAATGGGTAACTACCAGGAATATCTGAAGAAACAAACGCCTCAACTTCGTGAGATTGAGTCCGCTCCAGTCAGACAGCATATGTTTGGAAATCCATTCAAAATAGATAAGAGAATGATGGTAAAATCGATTTTTTTTCCAAAGGAATATTGTGTTATGATTAATTTTTGGGTTATAGGTTGACGAAGCCGATATTGACTTGGTTGGATCACCATCAGGGACGAACAGGAATAACAAGAGGCCTAATCCAAACTTGGACGTAGGCACTAGGTTGCCGCTTAAGCGAAAACCTGGACCGTTGCCTAAAAATTTCAGTATTCGACGGCCAAGTACGTCAGATGTGTCGCCTTTCAGTAGTCCGCCAGCTTCGCCACAACCATCGCCAATACCTTGGTAAAAAAATAATTTTTTAAACATTACCTTACCTTAAAATAAATTTTTACGTGTAGAAAATAATATAATGCAAAAATTCTACATCTACAGCTTAGTCCTACATCTATAGCTCTCTAAAAATGCTGTTTGTTCTAAAGACATTTTACATATTCATATTATTGGGTTTTCTACGTTTTTTACGTGTGCTTTCAGCCAAAAATTAAAAAACGTGAAGAGACGCGTAGATTTTTCACTAAAGATTGTTCAACCATCGTTCACCGTTACGTCATCATTATTTGTCAAATATGAGTTTTAGAGTGTGCCTGAGGTTAGTTCATATTATTTAGAAAATCTTAAGTGTGTTCCTATATTATTGATTGAACGAGTTCAGGTTTTTTTTGGCATTTGTTCTTTTTTTCTTGAACACTTCATCAATTCCAATCCATTGGACGGTTGAAATTCCTATTTCTAAAGTAACAGCAACTCGGTATATTATTTAAAAAGGCTATCAATTTGTATTTTACATAGGAATATTACATCTTTGCATTGTACTTAAATTCATATACGGCGTTCGCGGGCAAGAGTGTTCATCCAGCCCCTCTTTCTCGAGAAAAATAATTTATAAGCTTAGCAATGAGCTCTTCTTCATTTTGGTTATATCTTTGAGTCATTTATGCAATAAAAAATTTGAATTTTGTTTTACGGCAACAATCAATTTTTAATTTTGACATTCATCGATGTCTGTCAAAACAATTATAACCCCAAATCAAATGACAATGATAATTATTAAAAAGAATATGCAGTAATTTACGAAACTCCATAATGACGTCACCAATCTCTTTTTTTTGGTCAAGTGATTGAGAGAGTTCGACACTATATGACGTGATGTTGAACGATAGCTGAACGTTCTATACATCTAAATAACTAGATAATTTACATATTATAGTCAGTTTTTTACACTTTTACGCTAGTGCACTAATACACTTTTACACTAGTTCTAGTAACTATGCAATATATCCCTAGAACTACCCCCATACGCGTTTGATTAGGATGGAAATACAAACGAGAATAAGCCAGTAGATATATAGAAAAAGGCTTCAATTATGTATGTAAATAGATATATAGAAATTATTTTTTACCTAAAATTCTGACTTTTATTCTTCCTAAGAATTAGACAAATAATAAATAGACTTATAGTAATTTCATAGTACAAAAGTGCTTTATTTCATGACAGCTTTTGTGATATTCATCCATTTTGTAATAATTCATATTTGTGTATTTTAACTCTTAAATATTATTAGCCACCGAAAACAAATTTTTATCCCAATTTGTTAAAGTTTATATGATAGCTACTTTAATAAAAGTTGGATTTCTCGCGAACCACTCAATAGATTTTGATGATTTTTTTTAAATTGTAAATTAATTCCTTCTTAACGGGTGCTATGTCAGCAATTTTTATTCCGGATTTATTTTGAGCATATACAGGGCACAACAATAAGACGGAAGTTTTTTGCCCGAACTTTGCAACACCCTGTAGGGTGCAGCAGCTGTAGTAGCTATTGATAATCAAATCACATTGTAGCCTCATCTTTTGTGAACATTTTGTTTTTTTAATCACGACATTATCTCTGTTTGTATTGGAGATACGCTGCTTTAAAACAAACGCATCAAAAAAAGCTTTAAAAAAACAAATCAAACTTCAGAACGTAGGTAAGTTTAATCTGAAAACTAACTAAAACATGAAACTTAATAATTAGGTAAAGAAATTCTAATTCTATCCAGTGTCCACTCGCCTGGTGAAATTTCCTGTTTCCATATACCTATTCCAGGCATCCTGGACTGTTGTTCAAAGTATACCCAGGGCACAGCCCAGGGTATCTGAAACATAACGTTGACTTCGCCCATCCTCAATTCTAACCACAATACGAGCAACATCCGTTACAAATAATGCCATTTTTTAATTTGAGAACCGTTGTTGTCATATTGCAAATACTTATAAATCCGTTTTCACCTATGTCGCCTTGATTATTTACATATAAAACTTTCTGCCTTTGAAGCATTTTTCCGAGACGTTCGTTTTAAAACAGCATATCTCCAATACAAAAAGAGATAATGTGGTGATTAAAAAAACAAAATGCTCACAAAAGATGAGGCTACAATGTGATTTAATTTAGCTATAGCTACTACCGCTGCTGCACCCTACAGGGTGTTACAAAGTTCGGGCAAAAAACTTCGTCTTATTTCTCAAAAAAAATCCTCTATGGATATGTGACCTGTTCTTTTTTTGCAGGTGAGTTTATTTCAGAAAAAATACATTTTTTTAACTTGTAATTTGGAAATTCTTACACCTCAACAAGCTTTTTTAAAACTCGCTAAATATTTACAATGTTGCCAACTCCTTATATTCGCCGAAAGTTAAGCTCACTATACTGAAAATTATGTATAGGGACTTAAGTTGTAAAATTAAAATTTATATGAAAGTAAGAAATTTCTAATTTGCAACTTATATTTAATTTTGAACAATTTCCAGGATAAACGCAGTAGAAAAAGAACTGCCTCGTTTTGACGAGCCGCCCAGTATAATCACTAACGGTCTGGATAGCCCCTCCTCTAGCGAGAGGTCAAGATCGCCATCGCCAACCCTGGAACTGCCAAACTTTGATCTGAGCTATACCAGTTCCGGTCCAGCAGCGTCTAACGTCATTTCACCGACACCCACGACGAGGAACAGTTTTACTTATTCACCCGCGGGTAAGCTAAGACAAATTATTATTTATTATATAATTTAATTTAAATTCAATCTTTAATACATTATTTACAATTCTACCTAACAATTTCGTATTTTAAAGACGTTTGTACTTGTTTGGCAATAACTCTTAACTCGCGTAGTAATCGTATATTGGCTTTGATTACGTCTAATGTAAGACAAGGGGTCGTTTTTTTTGGATAATTGTATATTTTTAGTTCACGAAACGATTTTACTCTTCAGATATTTTCGGTACCGCGTCATCTAAACATTACAGTAGGATTTGAAGATTGACAAGATACCTGAGGACTCGCTTTCAGTTATAATGTCATTTCATCCATTCACCATCTATATTTTGAGCTTTCCCGATATTTCTTGTTTCTTTTAAGAGCTTGCATTAAATGTTTTTATTGAATTAAAATATCCAAATCGGAGTTTTTATGCCCATCATTGTTATATCTATTAAAACATTTTCAATATGGCGGCACTTCCGGAAGTATCGAACGTTGACAGCTTATTTTAAAGGGATTCCTCAATTTATTCTTATATATTTAAATTATCTGTTGAATTGCCGTGTTGGGGAAAATATTTACAACTGTAGCTGTCTTGGAATTAATTTATCAAAATGTATCATTGGTTTCAAGTGAACCTTGCATAATCTCACAGAAAATTTTCACAGGAGACCTATCAATTAAAGTGGCAGTTCGACAACTAAACTTTCGTGTAGCCTCTTATTGAACATATATTTGAATAAATTCCAATTTTAACTATCTGCTGAAGAAGCAAACATGCCAGACCAAATTAAAATACTATTAATTAGAAGAAATTGTTAGATAGAATTGGAAATACCATATATTGTGGATATTGACATGTTAAGAATTACTCTGTGGTACTGAATAACTTGTGTTTTTAATTTTAGGCAACACCCAAAACGAGACGCTGTCCTTAAACACTGCCTACGATTATTACAGTCTGTCTTCTATGGAGAGCACGAATAAAGAAATTTCGCAAATCCTGAAGGAGACGAATTACAATCATAATTCGCATTCTATAGAACCCATGATAAATTTTGTCGAGAAGGAAATTAAACCTAAGGTAACCGTGTGTTTATTTTCCTATTAATTTTATTATAAAATTAAACCTAAGGTAACCGTGTGTTTATTTTCCTATTAATTTTATTATAAAATATTAGGATTTACTTTTTTTTATTTAGAATTTATACAGGGTGTCCCTGAAATAAGTGCAAGTATTTTAAGGGGTGATAGATTTCGATAAAAGAAATATATATTTTTATCGTTTTTCAAATAAGTCGAAAATAGGGGAGTTACTTTACTTTGAAAATTTCCAAAAAAATGATTTTTAAAAAAGTGTTTACTCTTGTAAAGACAATCCGGGGACATTAGACTATATTAATGTTACCGTACATTAGACTATATTAATGTTACAAAACTATTATTTTTTTAACAGGTAATAGAACCAGAGATGGACAGAGAAGAAATTGATAATCAAAATTTCGAAATCAGGAAAAATCTGAACCGGTTAGTGCGCAAACCCGGTAAAAACTTTACGGAACTGTTTGAGAGTTTAAAAACTTTAAAGGGGGACATAGACGCGCAAGTCGAAATTGTAAAGCTGGTCGTAAAGGAGAGTTTGAGGTTTAAGAGGCAGCAGCTGGCCAAAATGCTGGAAGAGCATATCGAGAGCATGATGAGCCTGGAGAACAAGTGACAAATTGTATATTTATTTTAACTGTCATGTTGTTTTTAAGTTGTAAATTGTTTCGGAGTGGAGGTAATAATCTACTCTAGCGTCGGCATTTATCTGTTAAATCTAAAATTGAGTTATAAAAGAGTACAGTTTTTGCACTTTTTTTATGTTCAGAATAAGAATGCGTTCTACTGTAATCTAGCAATTTAAAAAATCATGTTTAACTGGACAAAATTGGACATTCTATATGTATTGTATATATATTAAAATATTGTACTATTTCTAAAATATTTTTTGAATTTTTAATCATGTTTTTCTGTTCATTGTTTACGTTATCAATTTCCTCCGGCAAAGTGGGCGACCAAGCTCTCCGTCGCCTGCAGGCGACGGGCAGCTACGGTCCGTGCTGTGCCGGACAAATGGGCGAAAAGCTTTACCGTCAGTTGTCAACCAATCTATAGACAACTGACGTTTAAAGCATTGTTTATCTGTCAATCTATATCATCGGTTGCTCGAAATTGGCTTTTATGTCTGTCCGAGTTATGTCGATATCCAAAAAAATGCCAGAAAATCCAATTTAAGTCTCATTCTCAGAACTAGGATGTGTCGGCGACACTTCTATTCACAGAACGACTGATATTTGTACAAAGATCAACCAATTGTCAATTTTGAATTTAGTACAATTCTCATTGGTTCTTTGAAGATTCGCCAACGTCATAACGTAGTTCTGAGAACAAGGCGATTATGTCGATATCCAAAAAATGCCAGAAAATGCAATTTAACTCTCATTCTCAGAACTAGGATGTGTCGGCGACACTTCTATTTACAGAACGACTGATATTTGTACAAAGATCAACCAGTTGTCAATTTTGAATTTAGTACAATTCTCATTGGTTCTTTGAAGATTCGCCAACGTCATAACGTAGTTCTGAGAACAAGGCATTAGGTGAATTAATCTGTTAGACAACTCTCAATACTCTCAAATGTCAATAAGTATCCTCCCGTTAGGCAGGTAATAGACATAGTTACACGAAGGTAGTCTGGAAATTTATAAACTCACCATGATGCAAAACCTTTTTTTTTTAAATTGGACACTTTGTAATAATAATAAATAATAGTCTTTTAAAACCAAACATTTCATGAGTGAAACCAAATATTGCACAGATTTTGTGGAATGGACGTTTGATGTTTACGTGTTTAGGCCGGAAACTTTTCAGTCTACCCTCGTATGTATAAAGTAGCAAAAGTTTCACACATTAAGGTTGATTGCCAGGGCGGTCTCTCGCATATAAGTACAAGTTTAGGAATTGCTATTCAAAAATATTGAAAAATCATCAGTTATTTAAAAAAAATTGAAAAATGTTCATTATTTTGAACATTTTTGTGTAAAAACATAAATTAGCTGTTTTAAAAAGGTATTTTAAAAGTTGTTTTGTACTTGGCGTCTGGGGCATTTTTCTCGATTATACCTGGCTGCTACCAATTTATCTATATTATATTTATACCTGGCTGCTACCAAAATTATACCTGGCTAGCGACCAACGAGCCGCAACCCCAAGGAAGGCAATGGCAAACCACCTTGAGTATATTTGCCTTGTAGGTCCCGTGTACTTGTGAAACACTGATGACACACATTACAAGTACATGCGAGAGTACCTAACCTACGCTCTATATAGAGTATAGCACTATAAGATACATGGCTGTCAATCTGTTAAGACATTTATAACTATTTATGAGATTCCTATAGAAATGCATTCTTATGTGGGACCCTCAATATTGCTTTAATAGTGTATAATATAATAATAAAATAAGTGAAAAAGTGCAGTAGCTGTATGTAGAGATAACATGAATATTAATTGTACATTTAAAGACTGTTCAGCCATCGTTCATCACCGTTACGTCATCATTATTTGTCAAATATGACTTATAGGGTGTGTCTGAGATTTTAAGTGCGTTCCTATATTATTGATTGAGCGAGTTCCGTTTTTTTTCGGCATTTACTCATTTTTTCTTGAACTCTTCATCAGTTAAGATTGAACTGTATGTGTTGAAATTTCTATTTTTCTAAAGCATCAGCAATTCGCTATATCATTTAAAAATACTATCAATTTGTATTTTACATAGGAATATTACACCTTTGCATCTTACTTGCTTCATACACGGCGTCCACCGGCAAGAGTGTTCTACCAGCATCTCTTTCTCGAGAAAAATCATTTATAACCTTAGCAATGAGCTGTTATTCATTTTGGTTAAATCTTTGAGGCATTCTGACAATAAAAAAAAATAATTTTGTTTTACAGCAGCAGTCAAATTTTAATTTTGACATTCATTGGTGTCCATGGATGTCTATCAATGGGCGCATTCAGTAAACACACCAGTATTAACCGGTAAAAACCTACCGATAACTTTTCATTGAACGATCAATTTACCTATACGTAAATAAACCGGAAACAAAATACAGTAGGCTCTCAAGTAATCGGTGACCATAACCGGTGAGTTACCATTGGCATTCACTTTAATTTTCTGCACCGGTGTGTTTACTGAATGCGCCCAATAAAATTATAACCAAATATAACCAAACCAAACCAAATGACAATGACAATTACTAAAAAGAATATGCAGTAATTGACGAAATGCCGTAATGACGTCACAAATCTCTTTCATCTGGTTGGCAAGTGATTGAAAGAGTTCGACAATATATGACGTGACGTTGAACAATGGCTGAACATTCTCTACATAATCAAAATCTCTGAACCATTGTGAAACGTTTTCCACTGTCATTAATTATAATAAATGTTCAAGATTAATAATTAATATAGGAAATCTGTACATAAATTTTGTATAGTGAAGATCAAATATTTTAAATTATTGTTTTTAATAATTCTTATTTGTAAGTACTTTATATAAAAAAATAGAGGTATTCATTTTAAAAAATAGCGTTTTTTTAAAGCCACACGTCTGCATTTAACGTTTTCCAGTCAGTTTTGCGTGTCAGGTAAAACGGAAGATCGTCTAGAAAAACGACGGACGTTTTTTAAATGGAATACTCTGTATGTTATTGCATTTTTACTTTCCTTTCTGATCACCTTACGTAATCCGAAGAACCTATTAAATAAGTTTTAATAGTTTCGGAGATTAAATAACATTACAGTTGATTGAAAGAATTGGGAAGATACGCAACCTAATAGGCGAATTCATGACAAGAATGACTTGATTTTTCCTTACGTCTCAAGTGCTGTACAGTGGAGACACCAATCGTTCTGCGGTCAACGCATAAAACACTGGTTTTCTCTAATTCGACCAGCGAAGGCATATCGAAGACGATGTGGATTTCAAAGCGACAGTGTTGCCATATTAAACTGTGTAAAATCTGTAATATGTTTGACGAAAATATCTTTGGATGAAAAATCCGTGTTTAATTTATTCGTGTTAAACATTGAATAACAACAAAAATAAAAATTCTTTTATAGATGGTAGTGAATATGTCGTATGATCAGAAAAAGTCGTTTTTTTTGGAAATGACGATTATTGACATCTACCATAATATTTTATAGCGATCTTCATTTCCAAGCCAACTTTGATGCCGTTCTTTGTTTAATCATATATTATATTAAATTGTTTAATGATTGAAAATCCGTATTATTAACGTACTGTACCCAAAATGCCTAAATCTACGGATTAATCAATAGTTCTGGCAACACTGTCTCCGGCAACCACTCACTCTGTCGACTGAAAGCAGAACTACAGTACAACTTTTTTACAAAAGTGTTTTTATTACAAAAGGTTACAAAAGTATACAGTCCAGCTATTATTTTACGAAATAACAAAGTTATACATCTTTTTTCTCAATGAGCCAGGTTCTTAAAAGCTAAGAACAAAATTTGAAAATATCCTTCATATATTTTTAGACTTATTAAAATATTTTCTTCATTTTATAGACAAAATATAGGCAATTTCTTGCAAAAACCCTAACATACATCTAGAAACTAAAGCTATAACCAATAATAATAAAAGAGATAACTGTATTTTACTAAATTAGTGTTCAAGCAATACTACAATCACAAAATACAAAGTACATAAACAAATAGTCCTTAATCTGGAAAATAGCTCTGAAATTCAAGCAAAATAATGAGGGTTATATACTACAATTAATTAACTAATCTAAGTGTATATAGGTAAGGTACAATAGAGGTACTAGTATTTTCATAGTAAGACAAACATAGGAATGTTACATATAGGGATATTTTTGGACGGACAAATAACACAATACAACCTAAATACTACAATAGAAATTAATAAATTAAATATTCAGTTCTAAGTTCTAAAGCTCAAGTTTACTACGTAATAAATATAACCTTAAAAATATGAAACTTTTAAAAGTAAGAATCCACTTTCATTATTGTGCAGTTACATTTTCTGTGAAAAATAGTTTAGTTCACTGTATATAAAATACAAAGATATATATTGTCACATTTCCAATATATTGTATTCTCCTACATACTAAGCAAAATATGATATATTTTCGTATTTGTGCTTAGGTTTCAACAAATGATTATGTAAAAGTGGAAAAATATACACATATATAGATATCCGGGAAATTCCTATAGCTGAGATATGTTTTAATGGGTACACTATCCATTTAAGCAATTTAAATTTGCCAGCTGAGATCAGGCATATGAATTTCCCGGGACGTATCCTAGAATTTATTTTTGCCCGACAATAAATCGGTATCATTAACCATTTGCAAGTCTTGTAACTGAAGAAACTTTTCTTGGTTCCTGATATGAGCATAGTTAGCTGACAAACACATGAGATAATGCACCTATATATAAAAAATGGCAAGTTAGATATATTTTTGGACATAAATAATAAACCTTACCAGGCTTAGAATAACCAAAACTACCGAGGCAGTAGCTAAGATAAACATTATTTCCACCTTCTCAACGTAATCTTTGCAAAAAGCTTTTACATTACTCTCGCCGGATACTTTCATGTGTTCTTGTCTCGTGCCACTTGGAAACAAAAAGTCTAAAACAAAATTTGGACAAGATTATTGATGTTAGAATAAAATAAATGATATAAACTTACAAAACTGAGTTAAATCTATATCATCCTGTAACGAAGCTACTCTAGGATTTTCACACATTTTCCAAAATACAGTAAAGACAAACGTTACAATAACTAAGAAACAGAATTTCATTAGCCAAACTATTTGAAGGATATATGTAATTCCCAAGAACTAAAAACACAGATGATTAATTAAACAATATTAAGGACAATAAAAAATTATATCGTACAATCGCACAACTTAGTCTTCCCGTTACTCTGGAACCCCAACCTCTATAAACCTTATGCCTTGTTGCACCAGTAGCCAAGAAGCCAACTGTTAAAACCATAAGACCTAGAGCTCCCATACAAGCACCAATTAATACGAATGTCATTTTCACAGTGTTTATCCTAAAAAATACATAAATTTGGGTCTATGGAATAAACAAATTAAAAAATCGACCTTACCAACCAAGCTGTGTACTGAAGACCTCACTAAACATTAGAAGTGTAAGCGTTGAACCTCGGTACATCGTACTGCAAAATATTATGATGCCCAGGGCACACATAATAGTTGCAATGAGAGTGGCATAAGGTATGCGAGTGAGACATTTTTCGCAGCAACCTGAAAGATATTTTCGAATAATTATTAACATAAACAAATAAAATAAGACCATCATTGAATGGTGTACCTCTACGATCGTCTATAGATTCTAAACAAGTTTGTACCGAATTTAAACTTAATCTAGAGTCACTGTATGTTGTATCCAGATTCGTTTCCAAATAGTTTAATGGAACTAACTGCTCTTTATTGCGGTAAGTCATTGTTAAAAGCTTGTCGCAATGTAATAATACGAGTTGATATTTTTTTATAGAATTAGCGCATTCGCACAATTAATAACTAAACAAAAGGTTAATCACTTTGATTGTAAGATAACGTCCTCGATAAGCCACACCTAGAGATTAGATAGGCGAAAGGATATATAAAAAAGAACTCTTACCCATTTTTCATATGGTTTCAGTCTTCAGTAACTTAAAACAAAGCCTCTTTCATTCATTAATTAGCAAACATCCTCCTACTTTCACTCGATATTTCAATAACAAAAAAGTTCAACAAAACCACTCAAGTGTCACATTGACATTTTGAATTTAACGAATTTTAGGGATTTTTTATTTCGTACTAGACAATAAGACGGTTATGCGTGAATATTTGGTTGCATAATCATAAATATAATTCATTGTATTTTTATTCCCTAGAATTCCGTGTGTCTACATTTTATTTTTTTTAAATTATCTATGAAATGGTTGTGTATAAGATCATACCAGAGGTATGATCATACCAAATAAACTTTTAGACGCGTGAGCTTCACCGGCTTCAAAATATTCTAATAAGGTTGCGATGAGTTTTTCTGTAATGGCTATTAAGCTATCTTGTACACTTCGCACTAAAAAGAACAATGTTCGACTGCAAGGTCTGCTAGTAAAAATGTTTAAGCTTAAAGTATCACAAAACAATTCATTTAAACCAAAAACACTTAATACAAAACTAAAGTGTCAAAACGAATGACAATGTCAGAAAATAAATAAATAAATGTGGCAACTTGACATTTTTTACAGCAGAGGTACCACTCGAATACCCATCGGGAAATTTAAATTCCAATTAGTCAGCCCGTCGCCGAATATATCCATGGTTGGTCCATCAATGAATTTAAAAATCACCCTCTCGATTACGTAACTGATGTTTACTTGATTACTTGGTATCGCTTATTAGTCATCAATGGGAGAATATAATCAATCCTCATTTCTAGGACCATTTCACGCGGTTTCTTACGCGGTTTTCAATTAAAGTATGTAAATTAAAAAAAAAACAGATATATTAGATTTTCTATCAAACTTTTTTTATTGTGAAAAAACTGTACATATCATACAAATATACTTAAAAAAAATAAATACTGATAAATTTCATTACAAAAAACTTTGGTTTCTTAAGTTACTTGTTACTTACAAGTTACAGGTATAGAATAAACACAAAACATGTTTATAATATAGATCGTTCCTTAAAAATAATCTATTAAGTAACACAACTTACATTAAACAATATAAAATATACAAAAAAATACATTGCTAAAGACTAGATAACAAAAACCAAAAAAAAAACAAATTAAAAAAATATTCCAAAAATATTAAGATACGCAAAAAATGTTTTTTTTTATAATTTTAAGTGGTTTTTGGATTGTTTTTAACTTTAATCACAATATCTGTGAAAAGTATCTATTTAATATCTGTATTCTCAGTGTAAATGGAGACGAAATAATTATTTGGTACAATAATTTACTTATAACATTAATAATAAATATTTGGGAACTTTAATAATAATAATAACCAGCCTCTATTAAGGTAATTAGTACATCTGATATGTATATACATATACGTTTTACTAAGTCGGTGTTCTTAAATAGCTAACAACAAACTATATTACAAGAAAAAAAACTGTCTTGGTGCTTATTGTACTCTGAACAATCTCAAAGCTTATAACTTTTAATACATTAAATCTTTTAAAGTGATTCTAAAGCTTTGAGATTTTTTCTATAAATTTAAGGCACAAATATAAAACTAAATCGTCTAATTCTATAAGTAGAGAGATCATAAACGCTTTAAAAAAACGAGAAAACTTGTTTCAAACAAAAAAAAACGTCTTTAACTTATAGCACACGAAGGCTCAAAAATGAGTCTTGAATATAAATATTTACAATATAAAAATACATTTATAATTAACACTAACAACAACGCACTTATCAATAGTTTGTTAAAGAGTAGAATTAGATATATCAAGTCATATTACCTATACCGGATGCGTCCCAAAAGTGGCTCCCCCTATAAGTTTTTTATTTTTTTAGATAAAAAATCCGGATTTGGTATGTTAGAATATGATATAAAATAGGATTGATTGACGTATTCAATCGTTTTCAATCACTTGTCCGGTTCTACAGCGTGATCCGCCTTCCGGTTCCTTGCCGTCATTACCGCCATTTCTGTATATCCAGTCATCGGCTTGTAAATTACGCAATGACATTGCCTTTGTTACCCCCTTTAACCATGTTTCTCGGGGTCTTCCTCGTTTTCTTTTTCCAGTTGGGATCCATTTCATTATATTCTTTGGTAGACTTTCTTCTCCCATTCTGTTGACATGCCCATACCAGATTAATTGTTTTTTTTTTTGGATTTCTTCTATGATGGTTATCTCTTTCTTCGTTATTCTACGTTACGATCACATTTTTACTTTATTTGATAGAAAATGACACTGAATAGAACAACTTTTGACATTCTCCAATATGTTTTTTTTTGAAATTGCAACATGCGGTTCAAATGACAATTTGACTCAAAATACTAAGTGTGTGATACCAAATTATTTGTAAAAAAATGTTTTTTTCAAATATACTGATGAGCCACTCTCGTTCCATTTGAAAAAAAATCAGATATGATTAAAAATACGATTTTTATATACATATCTTTTAATCGGCCATACATATCTTTTAATCCGCCAGGACAAGACATTAAAACATTAGAAAATCAAATCCATTTTTCCAAGGCTTCTTGATTAAAAATTAGCGTTTTAAACACAACCATGGCACTCGATCTAGATTGAAATTTAAAATACAATTTTGTTTTAAGCGAAAATGTCAAAAGTTGACATATGATATGTTTTTTTATACAGAGTGTTATTTCCTATCGAATAATGTTAAAAAATAACGAGAGCGTCATTTAAAAATCAAAAGTTGAAACAGGATGTGGCCAAAAAGAATTGAATACATCAATCAATCCTAATTTATGTCATATACTAACATACCAAATGTCGTTTTTTTTATCTAAAAAAAAATAAAAAAGTTATAGGGGTGAGCCACTTTTAAGACGCACCCGGTATAAAAATTAAGTTCAGCTTTTTTACTGAAATCAACAATATTACTCAGTATTTTTAGGTTTCTTGTATTGAACACCCTGTATAGGAAACCAATTATTGATGTATAAAAAGAAATTTATAAAAGATCATTAAAGAATTTAAATTGAATTATAAATAATAAAATATTGTAATAACTTTGTTATTTTTCGACTTTAAAACATTTCGAGAAGACCGACAGTCAACCTGCTTTTTAACTGAAAGTATATTAAATGTAACAATAACTTTAAAAAACTGAACGATGTAGTAACAGTGCTGATTTTGAATTTTACAATAACTTTTGGAACCCAGTAATAATTGTTGATATCATAAAATCAATTATTAGTGTCAAAAGGAGTAAAAATATTAAATTTTAAAAACAACATACACGCCTGATACCTATCAAATTCTACTATTAGGCAGTGAAATATCATGGTCTGATAAAAATACACCTGAAATTCGGTTGGATATAAGTGATACAAAAAAAACAGCGTCACAGTGACCTTTGAAATGACAATAGATGATAATTTCTCTGTTTCGAATGTCAGCGTAATACCGTTTTTACAGTCATATCTTTTTTTTTAATATTTCTTAACCAAACGTAAAACAAAAAGTATTTTTATTGGTGTTTTATGAGGGCTGTCTTTTATATTTTGCATATAGAAACATAGCAGGCGTCTTGTCAACATATACCAAATGTCAAAATTAACTGTCATCTTTAGTTAACTTAACGCCAAAGTTTTAAGGTCTACGTTCTGTCGCTGGCTGCACTGGTTGACACTTCAAAGAACCAATGAGAGTTGTACTAAATTTAAAATTGACAGCTGTTTGAATTTCGACAACAAATCTCATTGGTTCATTTGACGTGTCGAAAGTCAATTAAAGGGAAATTTTGGACCAGCCGATTTTGAGTAATTTAAGAAAGATTGCATTTATTTTTAAATTAAAACCGAACAGGTAACAATCAAACACCTGTCAAAAACTGATATAACTTAGGTTTACAAGCTGTAATTTTGTCATTGTCAAAAGTAATTTAATTTCAATATTCAGGGGAAATTAACCGAAACATGTCAGATACACTGTCTAAGCTATTTCCCGCGCAGTCCCATTTTATCATGCCCACTTTTTCTTTATGTGTATAACAATGAATTATTACTATACTCTGTTTTTTTTCTCAGGTAAGATTTCGACAGACGATGACAGAAGAAAAGCAGACGACGTCCCATACCAATCTATTTATTTTACTAAAAAAAAGTTTCTAATATTTTTTAAGTTAACTATGGATGGGTTAAATATAAATCCGTCATACGTCGTCTCTTGCTGTTTTTAACCAGTTTTATTGATTTATTTCAAAGATGACAGATCATATTTCAATTTTATTGGTTTGACGGAACGATGAACGACAAACGGACGCCAATGCGGATAAACTCGCCTTTAGATTTTTGAGGCTTGTCAAAGTCTTGCCAAATTATAGGTTATAATTTTGTGTCAACTTATGTCAAATACCCTGCGTTTTCGAAGATGATGCATTTTGATTCGTGTTATTACGCCTGTTTTGTGTCTTTTGAAGTCAAGTGGAGGAAAACTCGAGGGAAAATTAACCGTAGACCCACTGCACAGTTTATAGTTAATACACGCTGACCAGGCAGAAAGTCTTATACACCTTAGTCTTATACTTAAAATGACAGACACATCTATCACTGTCAAGGATCTTGTCGTTGGACAGACTATAGTACTGAATATTAAAATTTTATTAAAATTATGCTACGTTCGAAAATGACGCTGAAAACTTAAGGTGTTTGACTGGTGTTTGATTGTTATCTATGAGTTTAAATTTAAAAGTCGATTCAGTTTTTCTCAAATTACTCAAAATCGTCTAGTCCAAAATTGTTCAAATTTGGCATGTGTATTTACCATACATAAATCTTTAAAAAATCTATTTACGGCGTCGCTGTAAAATCAATAGGGGAGCCAATATCTGAACAGTTGAAAATTTGCATGGAATTTCCTATGTTTCCAACGATGATGCACCAGCCGGTATATGCAAAATATAAAAGACAACCCTCGTACAAAATATGAGACAACAAATTATTTTGAACTTTAACCATACACATATTATACCATTTTCTCCTCATTAAGTAACTTTTAAACCAATATGGTTTCAAATAAAGCTGTACTCTTCAGACATTATCCAATTTTTGACTTACGACATTGGCATATCAAAAATACACATTCTCCACCTCGGTAGGTGTCTCTGGTTGACCGTATCCCGGACTTTCGTATCCAGCAGGTTGATGTTTCGTCGAAGATTGTTCAGGTTGACTTTGCGCTGGCGCTGCAGGACTGGCAACCTTATCAACCACATTATCAACGATGTTGATCAGACGCTCGATGGTGTCGACGCTGACGTTGAGCATTTGACAGATGTCTTTGACGGCCACGATTTGGCAGGGCAGTTTGAGGCCTCGGATGGCCGAACTTAGGCAAGCAGCCGCTATTACGGAGGGGGTTGTCCTGATAAGGGATGGTTCTGAAACAATAGAAATATAATCAATAACACATTGAAAAATCGACGTATTTTGATTTGAATTAAAAAAACCTTAATATCATATGATCGAAAAAAAAACGACGTCAAAGACGGCTGGGGAATAACAATCGATGCTAATTTTGTCGAGGTCAAGTCCTAGACGTCATTTATTTGGCGCTCACTGCCAGTTTGCCTTAAGAAGGTTGTAATTTATTTTTATATTGTGTAAAAATGATCTTTAAATGGTGTAGTTAAGATTGTAGTCTAGAAACATTCTATCCTGTTTTAATCTTTCCATAATTATAATGTTATTTTTTGACAAGTTTTATGTTAACTTATAGTAAATGACGTCTAGAGATTGACCTCTCCAAAATTATTATCGATTGTCATTTCCCAGCAGTCTTGGACGCCGTTTTTTCTCGATCATACGGTAGATAAACAATAGAAGGTAGACTAACAATATATTGGTTTGTTTTGACTCAACATATACAAGCAAAACGTAAACAAACTTAATGTCCACTACAGAGTTAATATATCCCAAGATTTGGGGTCATTGGCGTAGTTTCGTTTATTTTTTTTACTTATTCAAAGTGGTCGAATTTTGGAATCGAGCAAAATATCAAGTATGCTATATTTTTGGAAGGGTAATTTTAAATTCTTTTTAATTAATTAAAAATATACAGGGTGCTCCACATAAAAAATAAAATTTTCTGCTGATTATTAATTTTAAAAAAATTATACTTAAACTGTTAATTTCTACGTAAAAAGGTGTTTTGGAAATGTTTTCATAAAAATACAAAATTTTCCATAACAAAAAAGTTACAGCGATTTGTTAAAAATGCACATTTTTGAAAACACCCCGTAACTCCGAAACGGTAACAGATATCGATGTGCGGTTTTCACCATCATGTTTTTGATAAAAATTGAGCTCCAGACACCGATATTAGTTTTTGTCATCTCCTATAGAAAAAGCTGTTTCCCTTTAAAAGCGTCCAATATGACAACAGAAAAGTTAAAAAAATATACTGTTAGTATGTAAAAAAGTTATATCGAATACGATCTGTATTCACCCAGGAAGTATGGCCTAAATTATAATTATATATAAAAAGAGCACGTGGCAGTTTGTGAGCCTTCTGTTCGTAATGTTAAAACTTCTTTTACGCTTGAGTACTCCTCCTTGTCTGCACACGACATTTGGTCGTACTGGAACAAATGGAGACCAAATTAAAAAAGTTTTTTGGACGCGATAACTCTACTTAATTACTGTCTTAAGACAACCATCAGCACTTACTAATACTGGAATAATCTAAATTAAATTTTTGTTATAGAATTTTTGCCAAGGAAAAAGTTATACGGATATCAAAAAATGCACCACCATATTTCACGGGGAAAAAGTTCCTATAAACACGAGTGCAGAAATGCGTAATTATATGTAAGTATATGTTAAATATACGTATATTATTATATGGATGTTAAACTTATAAAACAAACTCTTAAAAGATTTTCTTTTGTAATATCTTAAGAGTCCATTTCACTAGTCCGAAAAAGTAACAAAATAAGCGTTCGGCATTTAATGTTTTATGTAAAACTGGCTAGGTATTTTTACACACATGAAGAAGGAAATTAAAGGTAAAGGATTATACTATATCCGTATTGTAGCACATTTTTAGACAACTTCTTTATTTTTAAGATTTTGATGGTCAAACATCAACAAAATATTCCTTATGTTTGGACTAAATTTTCTCGAAAATAAAGACATAATTTAAAATTCCGTTACAATACGGAAATAGATTGAAGTTTTGTGATTACAGTGATATATAATTTATATGGTTTTGTAACAAATTGCTCTCTATTTTATGGCAAATTCTGAAGCTCTATAAACCTTAATCAAGCCTTAATCAAAGCACGTGTGTTTAGAATTTTGGTCGTGGCTTAACATGACAGAATTGGGCTAAGACTTCTGAAATATAATATATATTTCCTTCGGAGGTTTAAAAGAGCAATTGAAGAAATATTTAACGGTGTTTGTTAGTGCGTTATCCGCAACCTTTAATTTTTAAAAGTCCAGATTTAAAGGCCAATTAAACTAGAATAAGTCACTATAACGCGTTAGAAGTTGTTCAACTTTCCTCGCGAAGAACTTTCGTGATTTAATACTTGTTGCGTACTAGCGTAACGCCCTAAAGGTACGAGCCACAGAGCATGATTGGCGGTATGAAATAACAGGTTTCGTTATAAAATAACAATAAAACTATTCATAATTTATGATTTGAATCTAATTTGAAGATGGCTTGCGCCAAGTAATGAGCTTTTGTTTTTATAAAAATGTTCACAAGCGACGCTTTTGTCGGCAAAAAAAGATCCATGTCATATATGATACATTTTTAGCCGACCATACCAACTGGTAGGCTATTAAGATCGACAATTTTTTTTTCATTTCACTCAAAATGAGTTATTTGGGTCATTTATGACACCATGACAAAATATTTTCATGGTGTCTGTCTGTCTGTCCGTCTGTCTGTAACACGATAACTGAAAAACCGCTAAACCGATTTTAACTGTTGCTGTTTAACCAAATTTGGCACAAAAATACTGTGGCACCCGAGAATCTGGCTATTAGTTTTTGGTGGCGGTGGGGGGTTGGTAAGGGGGTTAAAAAATTTTAAAAATCGTAACTCCAAAATTACAGTAGCTAGCGAAACGCTGTTTTCAATTTAAAAGTAGGGATAATATTTGCAACAAAATTTGTAATAACATCGAAATCAGCCAAAGTCGCAGTTTTGAGATAAAAAATTGAAAAAATTAATTTATGTACTTTGAAACTAAAAAACTGCCTATCAACTTTTTTAACATATTTTATGCATGGGCGGACTAAAAATATATTTCCTCCCGGCGCCAATTTTTTAAATTCTAAATAAAAATGATTTACCTTCGCTATTTATTTTTAATTCTAAATAAAAATACTGATTTAAATCCCTCTAGCTTTTAAAAATTAAATAAACCTGTTTTTCATCATTTTCTATTAAAATCTAACAATTTTCTTTCAGTGTGAAATGCTGTTCAAGGCGCACGGATGTCAAACGTGACGTCACGCAATTAGTTCCCATTTGACCAATGCTATTCAAAGCTCTTTGTCGCTTCTGTATGGTGTATATTCTGTGACGCGGTTTTCAATTTAAAATTAGGGATAATATTTGCAACAAAATTTGTAATAACATCAAAATCAGCCAAAGTCGCAGTTTTTGAGATAAAAAAAAAATTAATTTATGTACTTTGAAACTAAAAAAAACTGCCTATCAACTTTTTATTAACATATTTTAATATGGGCGGCTATACGTGCCTCCCGGCGCCAATTTTTTTAAATAACGTGTATACCTTCGTAACGGGTAAATTTCTTGAAAATAATTCTAGGGATTTCGGATTTCACCACTGGAAGAAAATCTAGAAAATAAAAAAAATATTTTTTGTAAAATTTCTGGCTTGAGTCCAAACGGAAACCAACTTACCAGTTTTTTTTTTACTAGTAAAACAAATTTGCGTAACCGACGAAAAATGCTTAACGTTTCAGGAGGTAAGAACTGTTTATATATCGATATTTCTCTGATATTTATCAAACTATTGCAACTTCTGTGAAAGTGCATCGTCCTCAAGGGACAGGTGTGCTGTCCAGACGCATCGGTCTCGTTTTTTCGAGCCCTTTCTTCTTTCAACATCGTTTTTCGTGGTCGCCGGTCTCTCCCAGAAAGAAAACCCTTCTTTTCTTCCCTTTCCAATTCTATTGTCTAGCTGTTTCGTTTCGATTTCACTGTTCGCGCGTCAGGAATATATTTTTAATTGTCGCAGGGTCCTAGAACCCTAGATCATGTAAATGCCTTCGTAGATACCTCTACACAACAAATATTTTGTTATTATTGTTCTGTTTGGGAGCAAAACAAAACACTAGTTCACCACAATTCACCAAAATAGTTTACTTACTGAACGTGCGTTTCGCTAACCATGTTAGCATCATCAGTAAATGATTAAAACTAGTAAGTTTTAATCATTTGATGATTACATTTGGGGGTTGGTTTATTCTTTTTATTTTTTTTTGTTTCCGACGACGGAAAGAGATACACTTTCCGAAACGTTAAGCATTTTTTTGTTTGTTAGGCAAATTTGAATATCTTTAAACCTAACTTCTGACAAGTAGTTTACGTTTGGGATTAACGCAGAAATGTTTACATAAAATGACTTATTTTATTTTGTAGATTTTCTTGCAGTGGCGAAAAAGTCCGAAAAACCCATATAGGATTTTTTGGAGAAATGTTTACAAAACACAACTATTTTATTTTGTAGATATTCTTACTACAGTGGCGAAATACCCCCTGTATAATACTCCCGACTTTTTTGGAGAGATGAATCCGCCACAGAGGTATAGACACGTTTTACCCTGTATATGTCGACATCATAGGAGGGAGTTATTATGGCTTTATCTAGGAAAGGATATATCTAAAGGTAAAACAAACCAACCCTTCTTTTTATGCCGTCCTAGGAAAATGCCGACCCTTCTTAGACGCTTTTTCCACCCTGTGCAAGGGTAGGCTATAGAGGCAAAAAAAACAGGGTGGCGTGGCATAATGAGATGTAAATCGGGTAACGGTTAAAACTTTTACGATGTTATAATTTGGCCAATTTATTTAGATTACGAATTTATACGAGGCATATGCAGAGTGCGAGGCCTGGCGTCAAAGAAAAATGAAAAATAAGGCAGTTAAAACGAAGGCTGTTGCGCCTGTGACAATGGCAAGCAATTAGACAGGCTTGTTAGGGACAGGTTTTGTGACGGAATAATTTGGTCGTTTCTTTTAATCCCGATTTTATATAACGTTGTAATTACTAATAAATAGACTGAAGAAGCTTTGAATATATTCTTTGAAAAATTATTTATTTGATTAAAATAGATATCCTATTTTTCGTAAAAAGTCGATACAATATATTCAGTCTCAGACAGCGGCAGACCCACG